TTCGGTTTTCAATCACTTCATGAACGTTGAAGAAACTTTACGTTGACTCAATTCAGTTCAATTTCATTAGCTTTCGCTGTCTTTGCCTGCAAAAGAATAACAAACACTAGTTTTATACAAAAACAATGCAGATTAAAATTATTTTTATTGTCAATATCTTAGATATTTTGCAATCGTTGTGAAAATGAAATTCAATACGAAAACTAAAGGGTTTAGAAATATTCTCTTGCAGGACAGGTAATTTTAATGAAAATACAACCATTGAAATAATGATAATAACGGTGCAGTTATGGGCTCTCTAACTTTATTTTTTGGAAAGGTTTTCGATACGTAAACAAGTAAAAGATACGATACAATGGAGAAAACAGAATGACTTGACATACCTTGCCTCTTTTCTTGACTCTACGTATTCAAACCAGAGAACATTTGGTATTCTTGACGAATCTTTGATGAGGAGCCATTCTGAAATTGGCCTAAAAATCAAAGAAAATGGAAAGTCGTCAGAAAGCTCTTAAGATCAATAAATTTTGGATTTGTTTAAACTCAGATGGTGCAGAATTCCTTGTTATTCAATACACCAGTTTTTACTAAAAGCGCACAAATGGAATAGGTATTTGGATAGTTTGATTTTTGCTAATTTTTGACAATAGTCGATAGGATATTATCAGATTGACGGAAACTTTGAATGGCATGCCAAACTGACTGACATCAACCTTGTTATTTAGTTAAAGGCATTTATAAATCATGAAACGTGAAAAATATATACAAATAGGTATCATATATATGCGGCCAAGAGGAAAAGCGTTTCCAATACAACAATATTGCTGGCTGAAGTATAGATTGACCATTGAGTATAAACATTTTGCAAGTCAATATGAAACAATATACTTACCATGAGACGATAACATCAAAAATTGGTGACAGCAATCTTTGAGTTACAGTGAACCAGCAAATTCCAAGAGCAACTCCAATTAAAAGTCCATAAAATACTTGCTCTATTGTATGATATCGAAGATATATTCTAGAAAGAGTGCTAGTATTGTTAAAAATGTTGTAAGAAAAGCCAGTCTGCATTTGATAATACAATACAGAGGAGTTTAAGAATTGAAAGTTCAATACAATATCTAACAAATAATACAGATTGTGTAACAACTGAAAAGGTTTATTACAGTATTAAGTATTTTTTAAATCTAATTTTCAAGACTTGAAATTCTCTGGTAGCAAACAATCAAATTCATTCATATGTAATTTTACATTTCAAATGAAGAATAAACAAATGTTTTTTTCATATTGGATTTCAAGGGAACATGTTAATGGGCAGTAAATTTGTGTCACAGCACAAGCACATAAGTACTTGTGAACGAAGGAACCACACCTGCTATATGCTACCAATATTGCCACTACCATCGAACCAACAGAGACAGCATATTTCCAAATAATATCCATCATTGATTCATATTGGGAATGTAGCCTTCAAATGGAGGAAGGAAATGATAAAAATGGAAATCTGCCGTTATTTGTTGAGATGCATTTAAAAAATATATTGAAAATCTATATCCCTCACTTGAAAATCTATTTAACTCAAATTTTCTTAAATTGGAGCCATAAACATTTTTTATCAAAAGAAAGCAATTTTGTGAATTGCACATATTTCATTTTCCTGTCCTGTTTATCCTTTTTAAATTTTGTAAACTTCTACAAAGCAAATCAGTAGACAAACATTGAATATGAGCTTCTCACTAATCTTCATGGTTTTACTTGAAATATAGTAAGTAACTAAACTTGTTTTACTTGCATTCACTAGTTAACAGAGTTACTGATGCTACAATAATTTAACGAGATAAAAGGAATACATTTTCTTGTCAGTTACACAACCATCCATGACAACAATTTAAAAAAAAACTGAACATTTATTTTCAATTGCGAGACATTTATTTCATTGACATTTAAGCACTGGGATTCTCTTTTGTTTCCTCCCCTTAATAGAGAACAGAAGTGATGATGTCACAGAAAGAAATTTTTAGAATTTTTCTGAGTTGTGACCATATAACCAATAAAAGCATTACAAAATACTGATAGATAAATGGCTGATAGAATAAACACAACAGAGTTGATGGAAAAATTAGGACTGAAGGATACCATTGTAGAAGCTGTCAGACAAGGACATTTGAGATGGTTGGGCCATGTTTTGAGGAAGAGTGATGAGGAGTGTGTGGAACAGGCATGGAATTTTGAGGCTGAGGTTGATAGAGGAAGAGGACGGCCGAAGATGAGTTGGAAAGGAATGATGGAAAAGTAGTGCCGTAAAGTCAGTGTGAGCTTTGAGGATGCGAATGACAGAGTGAAGGGGAGAAGCTGCACCAAGTAAGGAAGGAAAGTCAGTAACCCCCTCGAAAAAGGGAAAAGCCCTGACTTAAATAAAATGAAGATGATGATGATGATGATGATGATGATGATGATGATGATGATGATGAAATACCTCTAAATGTGCAAAATCAGTTTAATGTGTTACAAATGACCTGAGATATGGCTACATTCACACAAGCTCTTCCTCATTAAATCATTGTAATATGTCCCAGAATAACAAGTTCCAGAATAATCTAAAACCTTTCATTGGCCATATCATACCTGATTTTGAACATATTTGACTGATTTTGTATAATGAGAGTTTATTTTACAACATTCTTCAGATTATGTGGTCAAAGATTGAAAAATTTTAAAAAGAGATTTTTGACGATGTTGCACTTTGGTACTCTATAATACACAAACTTTGGTACTCTATAAGAATGTGAATGATGAATTTAAAAGAAGATTGGTTATCTTTCGATACATATAGAATATTGAATAAAATATGCACATAAAAAATGTGCTTTTTAGCAACAATGTGCAACTTAAATCTAAAACAAATCAAATAGCACCTACCTAATAAAAGCAAATAGAATAATGTATGACGAAAAGAAGGCCATAAACTGGGCGTGACTTGATGGCATACCATATATAACATGGTGAATATCACTTCCTGAAAAAAAATTCTAAAGTAAAACAATAATCAAAGCCATAGATATGTATTTTAAAGTTGAAACACAAAAAACCTATTGCTACATTGACCTTAAAGCTTTTTCTGACTTGGTACTGCAACTTGGCACAGACCTACCAAGTCACGCGTATTTTGCGTGAGACACATGCATTTCCGTCTTTTCTCACGCTCACATGCATGAAAGCAGAATTCTCATGCATTTTACAACAAACTTCTTGGTTCATTTAAATTCTTCAATTCTATTCCAAATCCTGGCAAATTCCATCATTCCTAACAAGGCATGTTAGATGACTAGATTACAGCGAATCCGTACAAGTTAAGTGATGTTACATTTATTGAAAAGCCTACACAAATAGCAGGTGGGTCGTTCCATGTCAATTCAAATAGGGTATGACACTATACCTCTTAGATTTGGCTCAAAATCCAGCAAAACATCATTCCTGGCAAGATTATTCCAGTCTCCAAATTTTATGCTTGTATTGAAATGATTTGACACATTAGCATTAAAAGGTGTTGCAACCTCTAGCCCATTGATTCAAGAATAGCTAGATATCACATGCAGTTTAGGTCAAAATTTTCAAAACTATTCATGTTTTCGAAACCCAGTTTTCCAAGGTAGCTAGCTCTATACTGAGATGAGATACCAACATCAGCCTTAAGCTTTTATACAGTGTAAGGCATGATGTATCACCATGCCAGAACTCATTTTGGTAACACTAATCAGAAACAGAGAAAAATTCACTCAAATTTTTGAACTTTTGCATTTTCGTTACTCCAATATTTTTTTGGAATGTCATAGTCTGATATCTATTTATGTCATAGTATGATATCTAATTAGAGGTATTCCTTAGGTCAAATGATGATTCTGATTGATTTTATAAAATCCGCATACCTCAAAATACCAGAATCCAAATTTTCAAATATGTAGGTACAAAGAAACTTATGTTTTTGTAAAAATATTTCATGATGGCAAATTTAAAATTGGGGATTTTAGAGTTTTTTGGGGAATTTTTTGCAACATTGAAACACTAACTCTAAAACCATATGAAATATAAGCATGAAATTTATATACTGGAATAACCTTGTCAGGAAAAACGTTTTGTTAGATCTTGAGCCAAATCTAAGAGGTATGGTGTCATTCCAATATTTTACTTGCTGAATTTACATAAAATGACCCAGGTTAGCTTTTTTGCGACTATGACACATTGCAAATTGATTTGAAGTGTAAAAGAGGAGCATAATGTCCCTTAACATAGAGTTTCACTATTGCAGATTGCAATTGGAGCGGTAAGAGCAGAGTAACTTTTTCTCAAGAGTGATATTTGGGGTAGCAATTACACTAGAATGCTCCGCTTGCTCATATGCTGCATTTCTTTTTTCTGCATTCCCGGTCCACAGTGCTGTGCACTTTTGCAATGATTTGTGCAACAAGTGCACCAGATTTAAATATTTCATGAAAATATGTACTGTTATCAATTCTTTCTCAATGAAAACTGAATAGAATGTCGAAAAAGAAAGCCCCCTCAATCCCTAACCTGCTTCTGCGTTCCCTGCTCAAAAAAGCATTTCTGAAGAACTAGAGGGCATGGGAAAAGAAAAGTTTCTTGGGCCATACCCTTGGACCCTACTTTTGCGTGCATTGCTTATGATCTGCTTTTGGCAAAAGAACGTTTACCTGTCCTTTTAAAAAAACTCACTCATTTTCAAACCTGAAACTTGACAGGTCTGTTGGCAAAGTATTTTAGTCTAGAAGAGCCCTCCCATTAACTGATTTTTCAGTCTGGAATTTTTGCTTGCAGCAAATAAGTTTAATATTTCTAACCAAAGTTGACTCGTGACCAGAGTAAACATAGAAATTATGTCAGTCAAGAAACCCCTAATCTTTGGTCATATACTTTGATACCCAATGTTTTCGAAGTTTATTTCTGCATTTATCAACAAACTGCAACATAATTGAAATGTGTTATATAGGAAGTTCTATTTTATAGAAAATGTAGAATCTTGATGCCCTACCTCTGCATGGCCTTGGGGCCTTAATACTGTACTTGAGAGCTTGATTGGCACACTCGTTCAACAGAATTCCAATGAAAAATGTCATCTGAAATTTAACAACATAATTATTTCAGATATGGTAGACAGGAAACTAATAACATTTAAAACAATACCAATTAAACAAGAGTTACAACTAAACTCAATGTTTGTTTTTCTTGTTACTTAATCAATTTTTATAGTCTTGGTGCCAAAATCCCACATTAAAATAGCCACAGAGAGCAATTTACTGTGCCCCTGAAAATGGAAAACAAAGCAAAATAATGCTTCACAATAACGTTGATCAAACTTGAACCATCTTCTCAAATGATCAATATATTCGATTTATAATCACTATGATCACTATATTCAAATGATTTATAAGATTTGCACAGCACCAGTTAAATTTATGGCGATTTACACCCTGTTAATAGGTTAATAGATGATTTTACATCCTGTTTTTTATGTGTCTACAGGAATACATTTTCAAATATAACATAATTGTTATGCATCACTAACTATGGACTACATGAGAGAGTAAATCTGTGATGAAAACAGAAAAATTTTGAAACACCTTCAAGAGAAGAATCTTTGTAAAGTGCAATATTTAAAAGTGCATAAATTCCACGTGGTCAAACAAAAATTCACTTTTTCATCTTCAAAATAAAGGCATAATTAGCTATGACCTTTATTCAAATGTATTCAACACAATATCATACTATATTGGCATTCTGCTTTGATGGAGATACTAATGAAAATTGTATGAAATGAAATCAATAGGACAAAAACTGAATTAGATTTTGAAGATTTTGAATTGACAAGGACACAATTTTTCAAAAGTTGCCCCCTTGTTGGGCACTCAAAGATATGCTTGATAAAATTACTGAAAGAATTCTTCAAAAGATGCAGACTTTTTCTTTTTCTATGATATTTAGAAAAAGTTTGAACATCTTTAAGTGTTATGGGTTTTATTTCATAATCTAGTGCTTTTTGGTTTATCTCAAGGATACTCTAAAAAAAGGAAACTTACTGTGTGTAATTCCCTTCTGAAAATGATGAGAGTTACAAAAGCAACTATCAGGAAAATTGGCACCAGACTCATCCAAGCCAATCCTTTCCCGATAAGGTCACCTGACAAAAAATACAAACAATTGCTTAAAAAGCCTTCTGATATAGATAAAATTCCATTTTAGTTTCAAAAAGCTCAAATATACAGCTATATATGTATAATATAGCAAAAGTTACACGAATTTGTTGAGCAATTACACTGAACAAAGAAAATGAAAGCTCAAGTAAATTACATAATATGTTCAAATAACCAATTTCAACAAATATAATATGGTTATATGCAATAATACTTTAACTTCTATAGACAAACTTCATTGTAATAAATTTAAATGTAATTCTCTGCATGCTATGGATAAATGAAATGTCACAACGGCATGCTAAATTCATTGATGTGATTGCTGATAGGTGACAGAAGCATTATGGAAATAGCTTTTCACTAAATGTATATAACACTTTAGTTCTGTTTTAAACCAGCTTTTATGTTAGTCATACCTTCCTAGAATGTGTACCAGAAGAACGGGCAACAATGGAGCCAAAGTTTAAGTTTGAAACAACGCTGTGGTTATTGTTCTGGCACCAGAACCTATTACAATTCAGACTCATCGGGCATGCTTGCATACTAACTATTTGCGCACGAAAACACTCAGACACACACCTGTGCACACCCAATAATTCTGTCTTCAAATTTCATGTGTAATTAGTTTACAGATCATGTGAGTGATGTTAGGTGATGCTGCAAGGCTGAGGCAAACAAATGTTGGTTACCTGTATCATTTATCTTCACTAACAAGTTTAAATAAAAGTAGAAATATTGTTTGGTTGGTTCCAGGAAGGTGCTCCTATCCAATTTGCTGACAAATGTGTTGAAGCATCCTTTATTCGCCAACAAATATGAAATTTTTCCCGAAGAAGCACCCCTAGATGATAAAAAACCAATAGAAACTATAATTTTTTCCAAATGGGGGGCACTACATTCATGTCAGGTTGCACTTAAGTTTCTGGCGGAGCTTGCTCTGTGTATGCTTCTTGGAAAACAGGAAAATTCTCACAAATGGACTTTAATATAATTTTTTCCAAACTACATAAATACTAGATCACAGCTTACTGTAAGATTGTTTCTTTGAAAGGAGCCTTGTGGAGTTTTCAAATGAAAAAAAAACAAGCTTGGGTTTTTCAAACAGTTGATGTTTTGCTCTTATTCCAGGGCCTTCTATGTGTGTTTGTGCGCAAATACTTTCATGAAGAGCCAAAATGTAATAGGATCCGGTGCTGGAACAATAACCATGACGTGAAAACAAAGATTATATTATAGACAATAGATAGCTTTAGAAATTGATTTAGATCAATATTAATAAAAAAATCATTATCCATATGGCAGTAAAAATTTGCATTTTGCAAAAGAAATTGAATGATTTAGACAAACACTGCTACAATGAGGCTCTTTTAGTTTTAGAGTGTACAACAAGCATCTGGTAGAGTGTACAACAAGCATCGACAGCCCAACATTTCTATTTCAGTGGCATAGCATGAGCACAGAACTCAAGCATGCTGTAACATATAATATACAGTTGTGTTGAATGAAAGAAATCATAATTTCAGCTTTTTAAAAATACAAGTGGTAATTAATGATAATTGTGATAAGTAATTTTGATTTTGAAAATAACGAATTATCTGTACTCTAGTTCTAATAAATCAAGGTGTCTATTCTCTGCATCAGATGCTCTAACACAGGTCGGAAAACTGGAGGGGGGCCATGGGAAAAATTAGCACCAAAGCAAAAAGATTTTGAAAAGAGCTTAATTTTTTTGCAAAAGTTTTCAGAATAACTTCTAGTGCTAAAACCGTTTTGCAAAGAATCTTATTCATATTCATATTTGTCAAGAAAAGGCATCACCTAATGCCCACCCAATGTAAGAATTTTTGATGCTATAATGCATACGAGGATTCCTGCAAAGAGAAGCTCTCCACATCGCGAAATTGATAACACACTGCAGAGCCTAAGCAAACAGGAGCAAAAGTTTCTGCGGATCATGTCAAATAGACTTTGACCAAAATGTTTCTCTTTTTAACAGTCACAAAAGTAAAGAAAGGAAAATAATTAGATTTGAAATGATGTATCACGCAAAAAATATTCGCAAAAACCAGCTTATAGGCAGAAAAATGTTGCGGATTATGCAATATTTGGGAATGCATGCGCTCAGGCCGACCTCAAGCTCCAGTCCGGAAAATTCTTACTTCTCCCTGAAGCTATTCTCGAGCTGCACTGAAGCTGCACTAAAGCTGCACTGAAGCTGCACTGGAGCATTTTTCGAATTTCACAATTTTTAGCGATCTGTTTACACCAGGAAAAAGTTTGCTCTGGAGTTCACTGCATGCTCCTCATGACAAGAAAGAGAAGCCGTTTATTGCGGAAAACGTTATGCATTGACTTTAACACAACAACTTATTTATTACCGGTAAAAATGTTGCTAGAAATTTAGAATTTGTCTACAAATTTTTACGCTTTGCGCCGCAGCTAAGCATACATAGATGCTATACGCCACTGTTCTATTCCATACGATGGGTACTAATTCGAGTTATGTGAAGATAAGATAATCTTCCAAAAGGTTAAAAGTCGTTGGAGTTATATCGATGAAATTTAGATGAATACATCGAACAAAATATTTCTCGAAAAATACGTGATTTTTCTTCCTTGACTGATAAGTCGTCTCTGATACCAAACCAAATTTTAAGTTGCTTCTCCTCTATTTAACAATGAGTTTTGTGACCTCAGTCTAGGACCTCACCTGTTGGATATTCTACATGAGTTAATGCAACAGCTCGCCATTCAAGATCTTCAGCCGCTTGATAAAACAACTTCCAAACACCTTCATGTTTGGGCGGATCAAGGCAAAATCGCTTCCTACTGTCAGCCATCTTTGGTTTGATTCATTCGAAAGACAGATGCAAAAAGAGGCAGCCTCTTAGAGCACCCTGGGCTTTATTGTATAGAGCACCCTGGGCTATAACACTGAGCTATAAGCATAGCTACCCGGGGGGGGGGGGGTACTCCCATTAAGAAATTTTTGCTACCTCGCCAGAATATTTCTTGCAGTCATCTTTTGCAATCAAATTAAATATTTGCTTATGGACTAGGGCAGTCTTAGTGTATATACACTAATTAAGACTAACATGAAGCAATTTCAAGGATTGCATAAGACAGTTCATTTACTGCAAAATGAGCATGCGCACTTGTTTTCAAGGAACCAAGTTCTGACCAAATTCTTAAATTGTCTAGTATGTTAATTAAATGGATGGATGTTAATTACCAACAAGGAAACACCACTCAGAAAAAAACCATTTAAAAAAACACAGTCGTTGGATATGACGTGACACTGTTATTGCCACGTAAAGTTGCAATGTTTGCTCACGAATGGCAATATTCGCCGACATAACACAGGATTTTCCAACATATCACAAGATTTGCTGATAGTAAACCAGATTTGCCGACGGTATACCAGAATTGGCGACGATAGACCAGATCTTGGATCTTAAAAGTTTTTCGATACTTTTGAGTGAATTTTGATGGACGTCTCCGTTTATAAAAAGTTTGAGTGACTCCCCTCGGTTCTCTCGTAACTGTCATTTTGTTTTGATTTTCTCTAAGTGTCTTGAAAATCGGTGAGCTTTTGGCATAATAAATTTCTTTACAAGCTTTGAGAAGTGTCGTCATAAATAAGGCAGAACAGTCGGAATTTCATATCAATCTTTGGATGATTAAAAATGGCCAATTTCCAGGGAACTTCTATGAAAAGTGGACTTCAGTCCCCCTTTCCCTCCTATCAAAAGGCAACAGGGGTAGTTAACTCCCCGCGCCTCCCTGTCCGGTTAAAACTCGATTAAAAATCCATAAATTTTCAAAATTTTTAGTGAAATATACCATTCTGATTGCGTCTACTTTTAGTAGGAAATGCCAGTTTAATCGTTCTGTCAACAAATTGGTAAGTAATAATTACCATAATTATCAAATTTCTCTTAGGTTACATCGTTTTTATTAGAGACTACATAATCCAACTCTAGTACTCTAAAAACATTGGGTGGGAGGTTTTGATCGGAAATGTTGTCCCAGTGTCACTTTTTCATAGTTCCAATTGACCATTGGCTTTCTTTTGGATAATAACTTTCAGATAACTTTAGACTTTTGACCTTTTGGTGAACTAATATGCGGCTTAAAAGGTTTCAAAACTACCAAAAACCACAAATCCAGAAAACGAGAAAACGCACAATTACAAAAACCTCACAGTCGTATCTAATTATTCAAGCTATGCACGTCCTACACATCAAAAATGTCATATTGGCAATCAAATTTGCGTTTTTTGCTAGACCAGATGATCTAGCTGGTAATGATGTAGATGCAGTGCTGAGGAGAGGGGGTTCACTGACCTGGGGGCCCATGACTTTAGGGACCCATAGATAATAACTCAACTAAGCAATTAATAATTAGCAATTTAGCGTCTCAATTATCAAAACCTATCAATAATAGAAAAAATAATAGGAAAAGCCTTTAAATGAATTAAGGTAGAAGCAACAACAACATTTTAACCCCATTATATTTGTCAAACAGGGCTTGTAGCTTGAGGTAATTTTCTAGTTAGTTAACAAAACAATTTCAAAGTCTATGCATCTGTAAAAGGGTCAATTATGGAGCTATAGTCAAGTTTTTGGAAATTTGAGTTTCTATGGCCAATTTGAAAGGTTTTCCAGCTGATGCAACACTAGCAGGCAAAGTCAGAAACAACCTTAAATAAGCGTTAGGAAATGAGCGTTACAAATTCAAATGCTTGAGCTTGTTCAACAGTTGCAATGGTTGATGCTCCTTGGAAAAAGTGACTACCCGGTGATGTTAGAAGATATATCTTCCTTTCATCCTGCACAGAATTTGACACTTTTTTGCTAGATCATCTTCCTTCGACATTGTGTAAAATCAAAGAATACTGAGCCCCTCTCATATCACACCAATTGCCATGAATCGCCAAATTATTTTTGTTGCAACACTATCAATATTAACAAAGCTGACATTAATCTTTAATTTTACCTAAGGCCTTTTCCTGGATTTCACTTCAAGATAGAGATAAATTTGACTGACTTCTCTCGGTCTTCAATTTTTTGGGACATCTTGTCTTTCGTCTACACGAACTTCTTTCAAGATCGAATCAACTTGTTTTTCTATTTACATTGAAAGGTTGCATTCTGATTGTTATGTCTGAACTTTTTCAAATTATTTGAATAGTGAAAATCTATTGGTGCAGCATATCTGTTTTGATCAACTTTAGTATTTAAACATTTTTCACTTCACAAGATTTTTTTAATTGTAAAGAATTGCATATTTTATAGTTAAAAGATATGCATGCACTATAACGATAGTATACCAGTAATACTTAATCTATATTGAAAAGAATAGAGAAGTAAATGACTCTGCAACCAAAATAGCCGTAAATTTAGCAACAATAAATTTTCCCCGGGCCCTTTAGAAGGGTCGCCTACAGTGTATCTTGTTTTTATCTTTCATTTTGACCCGGGGCCCTGAAATCTTCTCCGCGGCCCTGTGTAGATGTTACTTGCATCCACCACCTTTTGCAATAAATTGCTCTTATTTGGAACCACTCTGCGACATAAACTGGCCCTTCGACAACTCTAGTCTTGATCTGCTCATTTGGGGTGACGTAACTGCTCATTTGGAGTTTATTTTTCAGGTGGGGTGGGGGGCAAAACCCACAAAAACAAACAAATTTACCCACATATGTCAAAATTTACCGACAAGAGTGGTAAAAAATGCGTCTTAACTGACAGTTTAGCAAAAGATTAGGGCACACCCCCCAAGCCCCTCGATTTTCAATTTACTGATTTTCAAGACTATTTTGCCTTGCTCTGCTTTACAACCATTTTGAATTTGCTGCTGGACTTGTTCTGCAAACCAGTTTTGGGACTCTTTACGGAGAAATGTGTTAAATCACTACTTTGATCTAACATAAACGCGTGAGTTCTAATTAATAAGAAGAATTAACTTACGACCTTGAGCAGAAGAACTCGAATGAAGACACGTCTCGTCTAAAACAGCAAATGATTTCGACAGCAACTTTATTAATCTACAGCTTTCGGCGAGTCTCCCTAAAAACTACGCTACACGATATATATATGAATAACTAGGGGCAAAGGTTAAAATTAGGAAAATAATGTCTTTACTAAATAGGTTAACAGAAATGTATTTAATGTTCCTGGCCAATCAGGGAAGCGATAGAAAAATATCTGATGCAATGTACATGAACCCGGCACAAAGTACAACGTGTGATCTGATGTCTGATGCAATGCTGGTATGTAGCCGTCACGTGACATGCAGCAAAATCAATAATTGAACAAAACAACAGCAACAGCATAAAAGCGATTGTTTAAATGAACTGTCTATTTACAAATGCCTTGCAGCCTCTGTTGACTGTGAGATCAAGGGGCTGGTAAATATGGGTCATGTTGTTTGGCACTAGAACCAACTTTCCGTTATTTTTCAGGATCAACTGCTTTACATCTTCAGTCCATTGGCCCTTGAAAACATCGGCTAGCAAAAGCCACTCTTGATTTTTTCTCACTTGTAGCTCTTCTCTCTTCTTTTTACATATGGCATTAAAATTTTCAGCACGAATTCTTTGGATTTCTCTTAATTGGATCAATGGTTTTCTGTGTGTGTGATGTGAAATTCCTTTGGAAAGGTACAGTCCAGATGACAACGATCAGTTTTCCCTTGATAAATCAGCTGCATCGGCAAGAAGTTTCCACTTAAGCTTATTGCAAACGTACCCATTATTTGTCTTTTGTCTGTCGAATTTGTTATGGGAATCGATTTTCCTCCTTTCAAAGTTGAAGGGCTATTTTGTCCAAGTTTATAGTAAAGTCGTCTGGTATTTTATGTGCCTTCGCAATATCAAATATGGCCCGATGGAACAACAAAAGTCTAGAATGCTCAGTTTTTGTGGATGAAAGTTACCCTGGCTGGAAACAAGCTGAGAGCGTGGCTCTCAGTAAAACATGTGACGGCGAAGAAGTGTACTCCATTGATTACAATTATGATGAGATAATGTGGAATTAGAAGGAGTTAAAGGAACTACGTCATCAGCAAGTCAATTTTGGAAATTTTGATTTTGGCCGTGTCAAAAGAGAAGTTGGCACAGTTTCAAAGGAAGCTGCAGCACACAATTCAGCAATTGTGCAATCGTATCGTACAATGGCAGAAATGGCTATTGCGGGAATTAGCTAAGGTTTTCTATTCGATACAATTTTAATTAGCGACAAATCTGTTTGATACCGCTGACAATCTTCATGAAACTTTTTTAACATCATCAGTTGAATTGCAATAATCTGTTTTGTCAATGGAATAGTGCCTAGATGGACATATGTCATAAAGAAACTTCCAGAAACTCTGACGCAGAAAAAATGTTCACCTTCAAAACCTTTTACAGTGATTACAAGCCACTTTTTCTGACTATAAAACTTCGAAAGAAACAATAAACTCTTCAAGTTTGCGACATCTCTGCATTATCGTGAACTATTATAAATGAATGTAAATGGTTGTGAACCAGTATTAATCACCATCGAGCAGTGTTAATAATCGTAAATCATTGTGAATGATCGAGAATCATCATGAGTCATAATAAATCTGCGAAGGTCATCGTGGATCAGCTCAAACAATCATGAATTTCTGTAAATCATTCTAAAAGCCCTATTAAGCCTCCCCCTCTCTAATTAAGCCCTCTCTCTGTGAAGCCAAATTACCACCCCAAAATTTAAAATAAGCCACTCCTCTCCATGCGCATTGAGTGGTTCTCTTGACAGGGGTGTGATGATGATAAGATCATGTGCATTAAATACGGCCGATGTAAAGATTCCCTTGTGCACTTAAGAAGTCAAGAGGATACTGATGTTGATTATTTCAAAGAAATCCCAAAGCATTTTGGCATTTTTATTATATATTTATGCTTTATTTGAATAATTAATAAGCCCTCCACGCAAATAAGCTCTTCTTTCAAATAAGCCCTCCTCTAGGACTGAAAAATAAATAAGCCCCCTCGGGTCTTAATAGAGCTTTCACGGTAAATCAAAACAAATTAACCCGAAAGATCGTACTCCACCGTCAATGACAATGTCAACGAAAGTAAATTCTCGCCGAGACCCTGTATTCTGATATTTTTTCTTCATAAACATCTTCATAGAAAAGCCCAATCCTTTCTTGCTGCCGCTCTTTACTGAGCTCATATTACGTACCAGACATCTTCTCCGTACATAGCCATTTGGCCCCTATGTTTAAATCTGAGGCACCAGACAAAATTTTCGACATTATGAAAGAGAAAGTGAACTCATACTATACCGAACCGGATCAAATTCAATTGAACGACCAAGATTTTAGAGAAACACATACATAGACATTTAAAGCAATAAATAAATGTGTCATTTCTTCAGAAAACATAGCGTAAAATACTTTCTCGTTGAATTTATGACGATATTTTGCCTTTGCGTTATGCGCACACATGGCCTTTTTCACGCAGCTCAATTTTCGCGCACTACTCAATTTCGCGCAGTCTGGGGTGCGTGAAAAATAGTAAAGCGTGAATTTACACCTAAGGTATAGCCTACATGTTCAACCCAATATTCACTAAATTTTACTTTGCCACATAATATTTTCAAGTCTCGATGCATGTCAAGTTTTAGCATGAGGGAATGAGGGGGAAGACGGAAGGAGCAATTTTGAGCCATAAGAATCATAAGCCTAAAAAGATCGGGGTGGAAAAAGAACGAGTCCTAGCCACGCCCTTCAGATTGCGAGAAAAAAACAAACGAATTAGAATCAAAATGGTGTAAATAAATCAAAAGTATCAATAAATCGTGGGAAAATGGGATGGACAACTAAGAGTTATAAATGAGGAACTGAAAAACATCAACCTTTTCAGAAGAATTTCAGCGTACAAGATGTTACCACTGGCGTTCCTTGACCTTCCAGACTATTGGGGCGTGGAGGGTCATCAATAGAAACATTTACCTACTAAGAAATAGATGGAGAAGGATTTAGGTACTATTTCACCTGCTGATAAATTATTTTACCGACCAACTAAGAATTTTGTAGACAAACTGAAGATTTACCGACGAATTCATGAAGTATTGGGGGAAGTGACACCCCTACATCCCCCGCTAGCTACACCCCTGGATGTTACCAGCCAGAGCATCAGCCCTTGTAAGTCTGGTTGGGCAAAAATGTGAAACTTGTGAAAAGTTGGCCGGATCCCCTTCTTATTGTTGCTTGCGCACTTTTTACGCACTTTTTTATAAAAGTATAATCTAAAGAATATTAAGGCTAAAAATTGCTGAAATTTAAGAATAATTTAAGAATTATCCAAGGCTCAAGTTTCATCAAGAATAAAATCTTTTTGTTTATTTGAGTTTTTTGGAAAGCAAACTAAAAAGATTACGAATATTGAGGCTGGGCACAAAAAAGTCTTCTTCTAAAAAAGTGTGTAACATAAATCAACTTATGAATGGATTCTAAAGGCGTAAAATACCAGGCTCTCGGACCTGGGCCCGCGTGAAGAATTTTTGTAGGTGCTGGCAACCTGTAAAACCACTGAGTTTACAAGGGTTTTACAGGCTTGTGTTCGCAGATTCGGCAGTAAAAGAAAGTACAAAATTCAATAAGCGTGTTCTGATTTCTTGGCTCGACGGTTCCTATAGTTTCATCTAATTCAACAACGACTAAACGGGTCACTTCGGCAAAACTGGTATGCTTCAAACTTCTTGAAATAACAACGGCTATCCGACCATCTGAAATCACGTCTAAACCTTAGCGACTAAATTAAACGACTGAATTACTCACAAAAGCCAACAAATATTTTACTCAACAGCAATTAAGATAATTAGGACAGTTATACAAAACAGAACAAAGGAGCTGATCACAAGACAGGCTGTTACATGGAAATTGGCCAAGGTGCTAACAAAAGTCAAGCACGCAAATGAAATTCAAACAGCAAACAAGCAAAAGTTTCCTTAACGAAATTCTGTCCTTTTACAAACCCTCTTAAAATTGGGAATTTTCCTCTAGACATGTTTTTCGCCCCTTAAGGCCCTTAACACAAAGTATAGTATCCTCAGTATCCACTCCACTTCTCTCCCTCTTCCACCTTCATAGAGCAACAGAAAAATCGACACACCCACTCCCAATAAGACAAACGTTTGTGTCCATTACAGCACAAACAGTGATCACACACATACAAGAATTGTTTCGCTGTCTTTGTTCTACCAACTCTCGTACTCTGAATGACTTGCCGCAGTCAATGAACCATTCATGACCGGCGCGTGCATACTTATAAGTTTTGCCACCCTGTGCTTTGTTTTTCGAAGAAAGCATTCCGGTGTTTTCGAAATTCAAGGCACGGTTTACACAAAATAGCAGGTTGATTACCTTATCTTTGAGCAAATGCTTAGGATAATGTGATAATAAATATGCTAAAGGAAAAGTGGTGTATATCGGCAAGATGAAAAATATTTTCAATGTTTTTGTCAGATATTTAGAACCTGCCAAATATCCATTTCTCGTTTCTGTCAAATTTTCCCGATGCACTAATTTCGAAATCTAGGGGATTAAAAGGGGTATCTTTCTTACATTAGCTATCAAAAAAACCTAAATTGAGCTTTTCGGTATTTTACTGATAAATTCGCGAAGATGTAAAAACCAAAGACGTCCCGCTTGCTCACAATGTATATCCCGCTTCTTAGGGAATCTCCTGACCACCGGGAAAAACTGAAGAAATGTGCAGCTTTCAATTGCCGGTTTACGTTTCCGGGTTACCGTTCTGATAAAAAAAAGACCCGTCGAAAAAGCCAACGGACCCCCGAAACAATCAAGCTTATTTTCTTTAGGGATGAGTAATGTTCCCCAGTATGAGAATATTCTCTAATGACTGAAGACTTGAGGTGTAATTTCCCTCCCTTCAGTAACCAGGACATCAGTGACTGAGGTGGTTTAAAAGCCCCAACATGGATTCTCTTGGACATAAATTTCAGTGTCGAAATAATCTGTATGCAAAGAGGTCGAATTATTTACCAGTACATTACAACAAGAAAGAAAATTCACAGCAAACTACATTTGGCAAATATGTTGAGTGAGTATAAATTCTAATATATCTGTCTTTTTTAATGCTTGCCAAATTCATTTCTCCATATTTAGAAGGGGGACATGGACTTATATTACTATCAGAAATATTCATTTATCCATATTTAGAAGAGGAACATGGACTTATATTACTATCAGAAATATTCATTTCTCCATATTTAGAAGGGGGACATGGAGTTATATTACTATCAGTTGATTATGGTTGATTTGATCAAAGCAACAATAAACAAAATAAGATATTACAATTTAAATAGACCCTCTTATGTGATGATGTGCCTTGACATTGTGCTAAATTAAAAACCCAGATTCACTCATTAACCCTTGGATTTTGGAATGCATTCTAATGACACAGTTCACAAGGTTTATGAAATATCTAACAAAAACAATTACAGGAATTTTAAAAACATTAAAGTGCATGTCTGTTCACTTGATGGAATTCAGTCATATATGTAACTAATTTTGTGTGTGTCTAAATCCAAGACACTATGGGAGCTTACAGACTGCAACAGGCATGAAATCAACATGTTTCTAGAAAAAAAACAGCTGATAAACAAGATACATCTTCATCTTCAATACTAAAAGAAATCAACTCATCTGATTGTTCGTTCAAGATCTATTTCTTGCTCAAACATGCAATCATTGTGACAATGTTTGTTTAAGATTGTAAATACTTCTAAAATTAAAAGCTTACATTCTCCAAGATCTAAGAAAACGATTCAGGTTTTGTTAGATTAAACATGTCAAAGGTAATCAGGAGCTGTTTTAAAACTGTATTTCTTGCTGATCAAACTATATGTTTTCCCCTTCATAGCAACCAATGTAATACACATTCTATTGGTGCTGTTGGCTGGATGTGGCATCTTTGCTATTCCTTTGGATTTAGCAGGGCAAGAAAAGCAAAGAAAGATAACTGCAGGCTTTTTGAAAGGCCTGCAAGAGCCAACACAAAAAATACTTTGCAACATAAATTTAATATCAAAGGTGGGTTTTTATCAACCAATTTAGTATGTTAACAAATGCATTAAATAACTACACTCTTTTTTATAAGAACAATTTCATAAGATTATGAACAAAAAAACTGGTCAAAAGTTAAGAACAAATTAAGAACAAGCTGAGGTTGAGCATATTGAAAATTTAATTTTAAACAACAATTCATCTCAAAAACGATTATATCTATTCATGTGTAGGTGCTTTTTTGGTGAATTTAAAACTTATTAGGCAAATGAAGGTTATCTCATTCCTTTTGGTGGCAAATGAGGCCTGAATACCTCCTTGGAGGGAAAAGCTAGCAATTGCACTGTTTACACCCTATTAATTTAAGAACAAATTTCAATTCAAGAACATGGGGAACAATTTAAGAACAAAACAATCCAGCCTCAGATTTTCGAAAGAATTAAGAAAAGTCAGCCTGAACTGAAATTTACTGGTTCTTATAAAAATAGAGTGTACATTGGATAAATACAGCATACTATTAACTGGCTGTTATGTCTGTTAAGCATTTATGGGATAAGTTTTTCTCAACAAGTTGATCATCTTTCATCTACCTATAACTGGCAAATTACACTGTTATTGGCATTGCGAAGTAAGTAAATCCAGGCTGAAAAGTTGTCATGTGAATGCGGCGGCAGTCAAGATTGCGTCACTTGAAGAGCCTAATTAACTTGGAGAGCCTGCATGCTTGCAGAAGAAATGTATTTTCTTCAAGTTCACAATTATCAGGCACTGAAATGTAGGCAAAACTTCAGTTGGGTCGTGGACGAAACAGTAAAGGGCTCTTGAGAGCCAAAAGCAAACACACGCTACTACATTAACTACCTATCTGAGAAACCGTATCATACTTCAAACAAGAATTCGATAAGATGAAAACAACAATTAAAAAAAATTTAAATTAGGTTCCACCAGCGATAGGTCTACCGAAATAAAACCAAGAATGATTTGTCATAAAAAGGAAAAACTCATTCAAAAACAAACTTTTATAATGGTACATCGTTTGTCAATTTGTGTCAATACAGACCAACATCCTTCTTTACTGCCAACTTTGGGTTTTCCCGGTCGGGTGCTGCGTGACTGTACGAGCTCATCTCATTGCTTTCTCTTTTTGAATTTCAGAACACAGATGTTCTTAAAATCGACGCGAAAAAGGATCATGATTATATAAAAATATACAAAACAGAATTTAAAGACAAATGCAACAAACAGTTCTTGCATGTGGTAAGTTGAATATCAGCTGTCTACATTGGACTTCTGTAAAATTACCGGTTCTCTGAGAGGCTGGCCTCTTTGAAGCATGACAAGAAAGCTGAACTCGAGGTTAAGGGTGTATTCCTGTTTAGCCACTGCATCCTCTTGTCTCTACATGGTCAGCCATTAACCTAGCTTCCCTAGTCATAAGGAAATTTCTTAAGCTATGATTTAATTTTATCTAACAAATCTTCATTGCAGGTGGAAGACTCACGCTTCGTAAATGCCATGAAAATCATCCAAGGCCTCGTGGGACTAACACAGGACATGCAGATAGCTGAAAGCAGATTAAATGTCTTTGATGAGACTCCTCTCGTTAGGGACTATCGCCAAATTGAGTACGATTTGCGAGATCTTGTTGAAAGTGAAATGCGAAAAGTGGTAAGTTGTTGCAAATGGCATTCTGCTTTGCTTTCGATGATCTTGTAGGTCTATAAAGAAAATTCTCTCAATTCAAGCAAAGAGAATACACCGATATTCTGGCAATGATTGTAAAATTCATACCCAGCAAGGCAACTCCTTATAAAAACTATGCTCGCTTTTCCCAAATGAGAGGTTTTCCTTCAACCTCTAAATTTTTTCAAAATTATTGTTTATTGCGAAGCACCATTAGAAGAAAAAGCAAGTGTTTTCTTCACAAAGACGCCTTTTTGTTTAAAAATTTTGGAGCGAGCTTCATTCTGATAACATTTCCTCTACAGGCATTCGAAATTTTGGACCATCAAAACTACCGTAACATCCCAGCGTATTCTGTCGGTGGCCTTTACGACGCAGACAAAACGAAGGCAGACACGAAGGATACTGCCCGCTCTCGCAACAGAGTAAAACTGGATCAAATCGAAGAGTGCCTCAAGCTTTTCATCGTCAACGTGCTGAGCCAGAAGCTTGAACTCTGCACAAAGTAGAAGGTGTAAAAGACGTTTAAAATCCAAGAATGAGAAGTCTTGTTCTTGCGGTGTTATTTTGTGCATCCCTTTGAGGGAGGCATAAGATTAAAAGTAAGCCGATTAATGGCTATAGTTGCGTTAAAAACTTTCGTTCTAAATTAATTTTTGTTTAAATTTGATTCGTATTTATATTAGAAAAGTATTTATATTGCAAAATGTAATGATAATAAATTAAAACTTTTTTTGAAAATAGATTTATTTATTCAACTTATGACAAAATGTAATGTATACTTAATATTATGTAACTTGCGAAAATTTATATTAAAGTATGGTAAACTATTTATTTGAAAAGTTTTATTACAAGTTTTTAAACCAGTGTAATTCATCTTAAAGAAATATTTATTATTATTGTTAAGTTTCATCGAGAGAAAAATAAGAAACGAAACGAGCATTATTGGCCGATTTCTACACACCTTCGTTGTTCTGTTACCTGCAAGATACCGTTGTCTGAAGCAATATTACAGTAAGCAATATTACTGTTATAAACAACAATTGTAGACCATATCGAAGACTATGTGAATAAAACTAAAATGGAACAAAGAAGCGAGAATAATTTTGGATTTTTTCTCGCATCACATTTTGAAAAAAGATGGAAATGAATAGTTAACCTGTTTAATAATTGAAAAGAAATTAAAACAATTTCAGAGTTAAAGGAAAAAGAAATACTTTCTTTTTTAAAAGAACCAGTACGTTGAAGTTAAGGTTTGTGTTAATTTTCTCAAAAATTTCAGCTTGACTGTTCTTTATTTATCCTTAAAGGGAATCTGTCTCGTTGTGGATTGGTTAACGAGAACAATAGCTGGAACAATAGCCTAAACACGATTCCAGCGCTCCGCCATATTTTTTACAATGCGATAATTTAAGGGGGACTGGAAACAATAAAAAATCCCTTTGTTCTTATAATCAATCATAAAATGCATTATACTGGATAAAAGTTAATAATTCAAAGAATATTATCGATTACATTGCACCAGTGCACCTAAATATGTACGCCACAAAAATGAAATCGGCAACCATGACAATTTAGAACTTTCAAGACCAGCGTGTTATTTTTCAAATGCTTCTTGTGAAAGCAACTTATGAATCAAATTTACTGTCAAAATCGTAATAAATTTTTGGTTTGAATATTTCAAAAATTAATTTGTTGTTTGAATCATGCGATTTGACAAATTGGCTCATTCCAAAAGTTATATTTATGCACAGAAAAGACGAGTCTGTTGTGTTGTGATTGAGTTGCAAGCAGGGTTTTTTTAAAAAAAGTACCATACCGGAGATCGATTCTTTCTACATAGCCTGTAAGACCCCTCTTTGTTTAAGACCCCGTTTACACTAGAGTGTTTTATCCGGATAAATTTTCATCCGGATAAAAATTTATGCGGATAGGCTCTCCGTCTACACGAGCGAATTTTATCCGTGTAGATATTTATCCGCTTTGCCGTACAAATATTTATCCTGCTACCAAAGCGAATAAATTTTTGCCCGGATAGAAAATTATCCGGCAAAGGGGAGTGTAAACAGTTTTATCCGGATAAATTTTTATACGCATACACAGTGAGGCTATTCTGTTTCATATTGAGACCATTTAAATATGATAACGAAACGGCGCAAGAGAAAAAATTGGCGCACTTTTGTTAATATTCCATGTCATTTTCGCTGTTTCCTGAACTATCATGGATGAAAGTTCACTTCAAAACATCACACTATCTCTGTGTGCATTTTGAAGCTCTGTAGCGCTGCAGCAAGGCTAAACGCTCTGCTAGCTGTTCTATCTGAGAGATCCTATAGAGTTAGCCAACGCAACTTGGAATCAATAGTTGACGATAGCAATTCACGGCTACAAAGAATAAGTCGTATTCTCAAAGCTTCAAGAAGAAATCGACGACCTCGCTGGTTCTGGGAAAGACCTTGGAGCAGCAGAGCAGTTTCCTAATCTGTCCATGTGAAGTTCTTATCAGCCTTCTTGCTACTTCCTGTCGATGTATTCTCCGATTTCTTTGGCATTGTCGACTTTATGACAGAAATATGAACGTGTTCACTCTGACATCAATGAAAATTATTTTCGCGCGTTCTTAAATCAAGGGTTGTGCGCATGCCCAATTAAAAAACTCACCATTTAGTTTCACCGTGTAAACGGAGGGGCTTAACGAATAAAATTTTATCTGGTACAACGTAAACGGATAAAAATTTATCCGGATAAAAATTTATCCGGATTAAAATTTATCCGGATAAAACACTCTAGTGTAAACGGGGTCTAAGATAGATTGACTGGAAAGCGGAAAACGTTTGAAAAATCAAATACGTTAAAGTACGTATTTTCTTGGTCAAAAAAATTTCTCGGAAAAGACCAAGACATTTTGTCACATGACAAAACAACTGAATAAAGGCTGCCCATTTAGAGGGGTAGATATCACAACACCACTCAAATTTGTAAACGTAACAGCAGTTTGCTTATAAAATCTAACAGAAATTTCTCTCTATGCTGTTGAGGGGGAGAGCAACGCTGCTAGATATATGAGTCGAAAGTTTTATTATACCAGCGCCAAAAATTTTGTCAAGGTTTTTATGAAAATATTAATTTGCTCAGCCAAAACATTCTAACGTTTTTAAAACATTTGAAATATAGATTATATGCAGTAGAAGCCTTATATTTCCATAAGAAGTCTGACTCTCCAGTTCAAAAGATTGAGGAGGCGGACATGTGCAAGCTACAAATTCATTACAAGTGCCTTTGTATCGATCTTTTTTGCATACAATAAGTTTTCACAAGAAGTCACTTACAAAAACTATTGTCCAGAATATGAATAAACTAAAACTTTCTTTTTCACTGGGGTTTTACCAAAATACATACTTTAGGCCCACTAAGAAATAGTACCATTATCCGAGCCCAGCTACACTATTGGCCCTGGAATACTGTAAAAGTAATTTCTCGATCTTTATAGGCAAACTAACATTAATTCATTCGTTTTGTTGTGCAGTCGGCATACCCCCAAGACAGTAGGATACATTAAAAACCAAACCAGTCATTGCAATGCGATGGAGGTGTGAACGCTGCAACATGGTGAATCTTATAATATAGCAGTGTTAATTATGTGGAGTTGAATTACCTTATAAGTAAAGTCGAATGAAATATCAAACGTAGCTGATAATCAAAAATATGTTCATTGTAGGTCAACATTTTCCTAAATTTGCATATCTTGTCACACAAACAGAAGCTTGTGGAATGTCTCGAGTTAAAAAAATCGTTCAACTAATTCTGCTAGAGCCACTTCATTATAAAAAACCGTTTTTATATATTCTTCTTTGTTTTTAAATTAACCAGATGCGCTCTCATCTTGCTAGTAAAATTCATGAAATAATGTTTTTCTTTTTTTAACTGACTTAAAATATGGATTTATCCCTAATAATTCAGTAATGCTCCACTTCCTAAACTATCATGAAAGCAACCATTTGCCGAATGCATTACAATCTTGAAAAACACAGCAGTCAGCAAAAGCCCTACCCTGGGTACCAGACTCACTATAAAATAATAGAGAGTCTGGTCTAGTGCGCCCCATTCTCGTTCTGGTGAACTTACTTGAAAGAACTGAGGTCTATTTAACAGACTAGGCCTGTAAAACATGACTGTCAGATAAATAATAAAGAAACTCAGTAGTCAGAGGAGTTTTGGGAAATCTTAAAGCAAATGTGTTTTATTTAGTTCTTTAAAGTCGACATTCTTAATACAGTGGTAATAGACTTTTCTGCCTCAAGATAACAATCAAATCAGGTTTAAAACGCCATTTGGCAGCAAAAAACATGTGCGAAGCATGAAATTGAAGTTAGCACAATGCAGTTATTAAATGTTAATCATTATCAAATTGTTAATCATAGTCTTTTGTAATTTTCCTCATAAATTGTGTGTACTTTCAACGTCTACTTCCTAACTGTGAAGGCAGCGCGCTTGGACACCCCAGTCTGCAGAGTATGGCATGGGCACACCGGAGATATTTTTGCGCAAAACCTGTTGCACACCCGAATTTTTGGGTGTGGCAACTAAGATGGGTGTGGCTTGGTGTGGTCCCATAGAAAATGTCAGCTGATAAAAACAAGCACAGTTGTGTATGAACAATTTGAGATATCATGAATCTTACTTGACAAATATCTTCGCGCTATCTTCAACAGTATACTTCACACGCATTTTTACTGTGAAATGCAAATTCACAAATTTTAACCACAACAGGGAAAAATAGTCGGTACACACCAGCACACCATACATTTTTGGTGGTGCACACCGTCACACCAGGCTTTTTGCTCGTGCACACCGGAGATCTCGTCGAAAAGTGCCATACTCTGCAGACTGGGACACCGCGGCGGTTAGAATCATCACGTTGGAAGGTCACCACAGCAAATATGGGCAATATGACAAGCGAAGCCCCGTATGTCGGGCGAAATATTAGCTATAACTGATTTACTTATGTTTGTTGTTGTTTGTTCTCGGCGCCTTGCGGTGTTCCTTATCTACTGCATTTCACTACAAGGCCTAATTTCTTTGCAACGAGAGGCACAGCCTAGAATATCAGAGACTTTCCAAAGCCAGTTGGCAATATGGCGAAGGTGTCTCTTCTCTCTACAAACAAGGCTTTCAATGCTGTTCTGTGATCAGTTCCACAACATGCGGAAAATATTCTTTGAGTACAGTTTTAACAGCATCTTCAAACTCAATCGTTACGATCGCTAGCATTTATTTATGTTCTGTTCTGTTCAATGTTTTATACCAGAGCTAAGTTTATTGTTTCGCTGTGACCTTTGAACGTACAGAAATCTGTACACTCGCTCCTGATTGGTTAATATCAGCACACTAGAACGAGAATGGGGCGCACTAGACCAGACTCTCTATTTTATTTCATATATAGTGAGTCTGGTACCCAGGGTACAAAAGCCCTTGAAACGATTTGAAATAGTTCAAATGGCGTTCACTTAACTTCTTTGAGCAGATGAGTAAACATCGACGTGGTTTAAAGTAAGGTATGGACACAAAGAAAAGATGGCCAAAGGATTATTTTCAAGTAGATTATCTTGATATGTATAGATGATATACATATCAGGTAGATATGTATATCATCTAGCCATATATGATATAATTTTCATACTCTTGAACTCTGAATCCATCAAGCGTGATCAAGTATCCATTGGCGGTTTTATCTTTTTTATCGGTGAAGTCGACATATTTGACGTACAGTTCCTCAACCTTTTAATGATTATAAGTAGCTCATTGTAATCATAACGCTCTACACTCGTTTTAGCCTGGTTTCCATATAGCCGTAAGGCTGCCTGCGGCTACTTTCTGCCATCTTCCATCCCTACGGTATCGCCGGCAGATAATTCTTTATGGAAACGCTTTCTAACGGTACCGCAGGCAGCTGTTTGAAGTGCCGTAAGACTGCCGGGAGAGCCGGGAGAGAGTTGAACGAGTTCAACTTTTCCCGGCTCTTACGGCATCCTCCCGGTACCGCCGGCAGACAAATTACAAATGGAAACGCCTTGCCTGCGGCTGCCTGCGGCTGCCTGCGGCATTCTTTTGTTCAAACGGATCATGTGATGTGCAAGAACCAATTGAAACAGAGCTTTGTTGTTGAATTTTGCCCGCCAGTTTTTCCCGCTCAAACTTTACCTAGTTACCGGCATAGTTACCGATACCGCAGACAATTGAAAACAGAACGTTTCCATTTGCCGGCGCTACTGTAAGGGTGGAAGATGGAAGATGGCAGAAAGCAGTCGCAGGCAGCCTTATGGCTATATGGAAACCAGGCTTTAACCATAACTTCTAAAAATCTACAACATCCCAGAATTAAGAGTTCTGTGTGTACCAGAAGGAATATTGAAGTATTTGTGACCCGGTTCACTGCAAATCGATCGAATTGGAAGCAAAGAAATAAATACACAAAACACAAAACTGCTTACGCAATACTCTTAACATTGTTTCTGTTTCTCACTAAAAACTCAAAAAGAGCGTCCTCTTCCCGGGGTAAGTCAGTTCTTGTAAATTGTAGGTTTCTTTATCAAATGGGGGCCTTCCCAAGGGTCCTCATATATTGTGGGACGATGCCGTAGATCGAGTCGTCAGATTTGTTAAACCGTGCCGTGACGTAACGGGACGATCCACGAGTATCTGGCGGTACGATCCCCGTATCACGGTACCATCTATTTGACCTCATTTTGTCCACGTGTGACTCCATAGAAATGCCTTTATTTGTTATCCTTTTCAGCATGTGTTCCTGAAATATTCTGAAACATACTCAAATGCAATCATACTGCGATAAAGAATTATGGTCTTTTTCTTTCTGTGGCAATACACTCTCTCTATTATGCGTGTAATGGTATGACGTACTACAGTAGTTGTTGCTGTTGTTGTCATTTAATTTACACGTGAAGTATGCGTTAGAAATGAGATTTGAGTTGAAGTTGATTAGAGAAGACAGAATTAGAACGGATCGACTTTGCAACCTAAGTTAGAATTTATGGAATTATACAGTCCAGCGTATATAGCAATTTCGCACAATGCATCATGTTTGCTAGCACATTTTGAGTGTCAGTTGAATGATTTGTACATAAAAGGAGGCAGGAGGCAGGTATCAACAGGGAAATATTTCATGTTCTACTTAAGTAAAAGTTATAACCTGGGAACGTCTGCATATCAATTTTCTTTTCTTAATGCAGGGGAAGAAGCTTTTATTCGGGTATAAGTTCACAATATACGTGCAGTTATATTTTTGGCAACACGGATTGTGGAAAAAAGCATTATCTCACAAGAAGACCTGTCGGGACAAAGAATTTGCTCAGTGACAAAAAACGTTGCAGTGACAGAAATGCTTCAGTAAAAAAATCTGAGTCCGCTCTACAACGTTGACTTCCCTTGAACTTTTTAACATACGACGAGACCACGCAGAACAGAAAGAGTCATCTTCATAACAGTTACAGCCTTCGAGACCTTGAGACAGTATTGTTAGAATACTACGTATATCTTAGAAATGACATCTTAGACATTATGATCTTGCTACAGGACTAACAGATTAAAAAAGAAAGTGACTTAGGTTTACATAGAGAAAGAAACCTTTTCCTTAACGTACTTCTCCTTGGAAGAGGCTTTTGTTTTGATACCATTCAGGGGCTCCGAAGCAAGTTTGATAGTCACACACACACACAGAGAGAGAGAGAGAGAGAGAGAGAGAGAGAGAGAGAGAGAGAGAGAGGGGGGGGGAGGGGGGGGGGAGATCAAGGGCAAGCTGAGAATCAAAAGGAAAAGATTTTACTATAAAAGTTATTTGTAATCCAAAAAAGTAGAGGGATCGGAACCAAGAACCAATACGTACTAACAAGATTAGATAAAGAATGTTCATTATTTTATTTTGTTACTAACTTTCCTGCCGCTCACGGTGTTTGTTATTGCATTGATATTAATGAAGTTTCAGAATCAATTATGTGGAAATTTAAAAGATATTTGAAGTTAACCATGCCTATTCCAACATTTCTTACACATAATTTTTTATGATTCAGGTTATTCTGTTTAATATCTATTAAACCCAAAAAATGATATCAATTAAGAAAAATTAATGTCTTAAAGGTGAAATGAACGCTGCTTTTTTGCATTTGTGTTTTAATGTTGAGCAAAAATTACAATCAACGTAAAAAAGAAAGTTTAGAACGCACATATGTGGCACAAAGTATTAGATGATATCATTTTCAATAAAGGATACGTTTTTAGATCAAGATTTTAGAAGGAGAATTTTCATTTTCCATCCACTAGTGACTAATAAGGAGAGCGTGTCAACAAGAGACGTTCTATGAAAAGAGAAACTTTACACCTCAGTGAAGGATTAGGAGAGTTATTTGATACCACTCTAACATTGACATAGGGTGTCAATAATACTACAAACAGAGAGATAGAGGGACACTGGCATTGGAATTTTACACCTCTTTTTTCTGAATGTGCTCCCTGTGTATTGCTTTTCTTAGAGTAAAGCAGCGCTCTTCGAAAGGGATTTACTTCAGCACAGCGTCCCCATTGACCAGCGACAAAAGCTTAAAGGAAAACGGTAGTTGAGGTAATCAGTATTTATGGAAATGGGAACAAACTTTCAGAGAGGAGTAAGACATTTAAATGGCGAAATATTCACCCAAGACTCAGAAGAAAAAGACACACAGATCTTACGCAGTGAACAAGAAAAGGCTTTGGGATTCTAAGTTGCAAGGCAAATTAAAGAAAGAGAAACATGGCTCAAACTGGTAAGTGCTCAAGGCTTGTGTTACAGTGAACTGAAATTTGAACACAAGCGTTTATTTTCTGCTCATCAATTGGTGTCATGGGCTAAGGCTCTATTTAAGAATACAGCATTTTTGTTACTAGATTAGGGGCAAAGATTGACAGTCTCAAGACTGGTTACAAATTGTTGCTTTTTGTACGAAACTATGCTTACTTATATATTTTCTTATGCAATCCTACAAAGTAAGCTTTTACTCTGGTTGTTTTGACGAATGGAGTGCGAAGAAAAGTCTTCAATTTTCCAATTTTTAGGCTATGATCACATTTAAAGGATTTAAACTCAATTTTCAAGAGGACACTTCATTATTATAATTCATTCCGTTAATAATAATGATTATTATCATACATCGATATTTTGAGAAGTTTGCCTATTCAGCTAGGTGAACAGCTTCCATATTTTCGCGAATTAAAAGTTTTGTTAATAATCGGACAAAGTCAAACAGATTTGTTTTCAGAAATTTTCATTTTAACCATATTATCTCAAAAGTACCATGACATAGTACCTCCAAAAGTGAAAAATCAGCTTAATATGTAAAAAAGGCTTGAATATGGTCATATCAGCACAGGTCTTTTCTTATCAAAAGTTGTACCGTGTTTTTGGTGTAAAAGCTTATGTGTCGACAATTTGCTCACCGGTCATTTCTCCGCTTAACATAGCCGCTTTATTTGTTCGACATAGGAAAATAGTAAGTACTGTTGTGTATGCTTGACTTTCAAAGCTAGCTTGGTTTTAGTTTCATTGGGAGAAACTTGATATACAACACGATTGGGTTTTCCTTCTAGTACGACTACGTTTGATTCTTGGAATCACGTTATTCATCGCATTTTCGACGACAGCTCCAATTGCAGCTAAGCCTGCGGTGTCAAGAGATAAATATGCAGCTATCTACGATTCACTGAAAAAGCCGTTGGGGGATATTCTAGAAGTCACAAGAAGTACCGCTATGTCTTTTGTAAGTTTCCTTTTACCAAATAGCAAGGATGGAAAGTAACTTAAACCAATCAGATTGTCTGTTTACATCTTCACAAGCCTGACAAGGTCTCTATTATCTTTAGCGCAATTTCATCGCGCAAGCATCTAACACAAGGTTTTATTTTCATAGCTCATATATATTCTTTGATTACAGTTGATGCTTAAGAAATTGAGGCCGTAGATTTTATAGATATATGTAAACTTGGAAAAGTAACAAAATTAGGCTGAATAAGTTGTAGTAGGAATTTATTTTAGTTTTGCCTTCTTCTTGATAAACTAGATTTTACAAATGCATTTATCTAAATGCTTATTGCTTTCTTTTCAGGCAAAGGAAAAGAAACTTGATAACGTTGGCTTAAGCGAGGGACTTTTAGAAATGTGCCAAAGTTACATTGGAGAGAACAATGTAAAAAGTAGCAAGGTTAGTTTTCAAGATATCATAAAACAATGTATTGTGTATGAGGTTAAAGCGTACTTTCAGTTAGACTAAAAATAAATTGCTGCCCGCAACCATTTTTCTTCCTTGGTTTATATCAATTGAAGCATCTTTATTTTTGACATGGACTGAAAAACGTCTGTAGCCACTAAGCGCTCTCTTGCTTAAAATCTTTTTAAAAAATAAGTAAGAATTCTAAAAATTTCAACTCGTAAAACTTTGCAGATTTGAAATTTCTTTCCACATCTTCTGCTATTCACTGAGATCAAATATAAAAACCTACAAAATTAAGGCGATAATCAATTCTGAGCACGGAGCTTAAAATATTTGATAAATCCTCTATTTAGATTTTTTCAGGCCCTTTCATCAATGGTTCCAAACCCAACACCTCCTCGGCTTACCCAAGGACATGTTTTCAGTACTTTTTATTAGGTTATGACTCTATATAAAAATCATAACCTTTAGAAAACGTCCAAGTTTTTACTTGAAGAGTTGTGATTCGATATAGCCTTGAGAATACCGGGCTTGAAAAACACATTGTTGTGTCGGAGCTTCTTGGAGAGATAAATTTTCAATATGATATGAAACAAAACAAACTTTTTTCCAGCTTGTTCTACTCTCAAGATATTGATTATTTTGCTATATTTATGAGTTTTCAGTCTTTTTGGTGAACTTTTACCTTGTGTCAAATAGAAGTAAAATTTAGTTTTCTCTTTAAAATTTTTCAAGGAGCGTCAAAAGCGATTTGTCTACGTCATGAAGGTGTATCAAGAACTCGTTAAACAAGTGCAAAAGGTTCAGATCAGTGAAAGCAAGTTGAATGGAGGCAAATGCTCTGTATTGCTGAAGAAAATCAGACGGATCGAGTTTAAGCTGAGAGATTTTGTCGAGACTACGTTGAGGAATGCGGTATGTTGAAATCATATCATATGCATTTTCAAAACTTTTATCCCATAGATTTAGAGCTTGTAATTACGTGTAAGTAACACATAAAGATTCAAACTTTTAGGGAATTTTTTTCTTTGATTCACAATCCATTTTGATTAAAATAGTTTTGATTAAACATAAAAATTCAAGATTTTATAGATTTGTTCTCTTTGATTGACAAACCTTCTCGATTACATAGTTTTAATTAGCACATAAAAATTCAGACTTTTATGGATCTATTTTCTTTGATTGACAAACCTTTTCGTTTACATAGTTGTTGCAGGATCACTAGCACCATACCGGCACTGAATATTATCATTGGTCATAACTGTAACCATAATTTCTAAATACTTGATATCATTAGTTTTCTGTTCTGCTAACACATAATATAACTACGTTATGGGGCTTAAAACCTGATCAATAAGTCAGATGAATTGATGTTTGGAGCAGAATTGACAGCTAAAACGACCGTGTCAATTTTTACATCTCAAATTTTCTTACAGGCAACTGACATTATAGAGAACAGTGAAAGAAAGATGGTACCGTCGTATTCAGTTGGAAACGATCATTTGGCTGGAGTGGATAGCATGGCTTCTGATGTCAGCAAAAAGAATCTTGAAATTCTGAATGCTATCTTGCTGTGTACTGAAAATTTCTTGAAAAATGATGTAATGCAAGTTGCAGGGAACGATGCACTACTTACGCTGGTAGCTTTTAATATGAAGGAGCTGAAATCTGATACAGATAGGTCAAAGGGCGTCAATGGGGCAACAAAGAGCGAAGAACTTCCATCAACACAGGAGGAGAAGAGCCTTCACAAGAACAAATATGGTTCGACTCAAGAACCAGAAGGCGTCAATACCAAGCAGGGAGGCATCCGCAAAGAGAAGGAAAAGGCCCATGGAGAGGAAGAAGAACTCTACAGGAAGGAAGGGGGATCGTACAGAGATGAAGAAAGGAACCACGAGAGAGAAGAGGGACTCCACGTGAAAAAAGTTAAGCTCTCTAAGGATATAGAGGAGTTTAATCAAAACAAGAGGAGAATCCACATTGGAGAAAAGGAAGGCCATAGAGAGGATGAAGAAGCGCATAGGCAGGAAAGTCACTCGTACAAAAGGGACGAAGAGGAACAGATTGAAGAAAAGGGAGCCCATACGGAAGAAGAAGAATCCTACAAGAATGAAGAAGAGTTTAACCAAAATAAAAGGGGAACCCACATAAGAGAGAAAGAGGGCCATAGAGAGGACGAAGAAGCACACAAACAGGAAGGTAAATCGTACACAAGGGACGAAGAGGGAAAAATTAAAGAAGAGGGAGTCCATATGAAAGAAGAGGAACTCTACAAGAATGAAGAAGAGCTGAATCAAAAAAAGGGAGGAATCCAAAGGGACGAAAAATAGATCCAAAGGGAGGAAGAACATTCATATAGGCAAGAAAGAATATCACACAGAAATGAAGAAGGAGAACAAAGGAAAGAAGAAGGTATCTATGTAGAGGAAGAAAGTCTCCAATAGAAAAAAACATCGAGAAATTTGAAGTTAATTTTAGATGGGAAGCATGCAGAGAAGGAAACTATTATAGAGAAGAAGCGTCTGCTACAGCGGATAAAATATATTATTATATCTTTAATTAAAAGAAGACTTTTATTTAATACAAAACTATTTTGAGAAGAACTATGATAGCATAGTTAAGGGAAAAAACATACTGTTAAATCATGTAATATTTATTTACTTATTTTCAAAAAGTGCCCTGAGTCCTATGAAAATCATATGTTTTTCACTTACATTCTGGAACGATTTTGTCAATTTTTACCTGTGACTAGGAGTAATGTGAATGACTGGACAATAATTCATTCTCAAAGAGTAACGACATAATCAAGCCAATTCCTGCAAGAAAAAAACTGAGTTGGGAAGCTGCATGATGTTTTTGCAATTTTGTAAGAGCTTTGTACCTCACACGGAGGTAACAGATTACAAAAAATAATGTGTAGAAACAAATTAGATACATCATAGACAGAAAAGCAACCATTCTCAAAATTTATTTTAAAAAACCTATATCAATCACGGACAGCCACAAATGTTTTTCTCTAATCAGGAAAAGCTCTTGATGTATAGAACAGGACGGTTCTAATTTGCTATTCCGAGTTTCAATTTAGGGTAGCAACTTAGAATCATCCTGTTTAATACACCAAAACCATGTACTGCTTTGCCTATACGGCATCGAGCATTTTATGACAGACCAGTGAACAGTAATTTTCTTAGCTTGATAAAAGGAATGAAAATGCAGCGTTGAAAGCAAAACCTCATTTTGTTGCCTTGAGTAACTTGAGTATTTTGTTACTGAAAGGCATTTGCTGACTTTGATAACATGTTGCGAAGCAGGCTAGATGTACTTGTTTAATTTTGAAATTTTAGGCCGATTTAACTGTTTAAATTGGTAAGAGCAACGGGATGAATTAGCCATACTACTAACAACAGCTCTATCCTTGGATCTGTAAGACATCTAAGTAGACCTAAAAAGCAAAAGGTCTTTCATTATCTGCTAAACGTGACTCTTTGTCAAAATATAGGGCAGTTTTCTCTGTCCTGTTGAGGGATTGCAACCCTAAGTTCAACATTTATCACAACATTTCAATTACAGGAACTTGAGCCAGTGCCATCGGAACGAAATTCATATTTGGGGGGGGGGGGGGCCCATGGTATTGCTCCCCATTCAGTACCCTGTTGTAAAGGAAATAAGTTATGGTTTGACAATGATTGGGGGCTCCAGCCCCCCAGCCCCCTCCCTCGCTTCCAATGGCCCTGTAAGCCAACCAAAGACTTAAGCATCACAGCTGGTTATTTGAAGGAGCTACAAACATCCAATGATTTAAAAATATGAGAGGAAAGACATCCAATATAGTTTTTTAGTTGCAATGTTAAAAGCAAGCCAACATTGAATTGCTTGTTACTAGCAGCAATCACTCTATGCGGTTGTTAATCAAAAACCAGTCAGCGATGGATGACTCTGTTTTGCATTGCATCTCGTCGATGTCTGTGTAAAACATAATTTTCGCATGAACTTCCCTCCTACCTTCACCTTTTTGTAAATTTCAAGGACTTTTATCAATCATAAACCAAGTAAGTTTAATTCAATTTATATATTTTCAATACACAAAAATTTTAAGTTATGCTGCATTTTTCTTTGTCAATTTTTGCTGTTGATTGTCTTAACTTGTTATTTTAACATTGATCTTTGAGTTGCTAACAGCTCAAACTGTTCAAACTTGGTTTGAAATAAGATTAAAGCCTACTCTTTGAATAAAGCAAATTTTCACGACATGATTCCTGGTTGTCACAAAGACTACACCTTTCTCGAAGAGAAAATGTCAATTTGTAGAAAAGTCCTTGAAAATACTGTGAAAGTTCATTGCCAGTGGATCTTGCTGAGTATCTTTCTGTATTGTTTATAAGACATGACATGACATTCTCGTTAGCTCCCGACTAGCTCCCAATTCGTCCACTCTAGACTTTTTGGGCTGGTGACCCTCGTGGTGACTTGACCTTCTCGCGCCTACAAAGAACAAACACTTTGAAAAGGAATATTTTTTCTTAGATGTGATATTGCAAGTTGAAATTAGTCAATTTCCTAGGTTTGAAAGGAAAAGCAAAGATGTGTCAGTAAAAAAGATATAGAACTGTTTACGGGCGTAGCATTAAATGTTCAAATAAAAAGTAAATAATAATTAGCATTATATGTAACATGTTTAGAAAAAAATCAGTCAGAGTTTGTATTCTAGTTTTGGAAAAAGCAAGAAATGACCGTTAAAATAATTCCATTCAGAAGAAAAGAAGGTCTATAATTGCCAAAAAATTTTGAAACCTTGGAAAAAGGGTCGATTTTTTAAAGACAGTGAAAAAGTGAAGGCGAGCCAGAGAGCCAGAGCCAAGAACAATGTCATAGCCTCTTTACGGTCTCGAGACTAAAGGCCCATGTGGGAAACGGAGCGGTCAGCGGCTGTTCTTTGCGAAGGCGCCATTTTGTTTTTGAGTCCAGCCAAGGTTTCAACTGGAGCAGTAAGGAACCGCCATTCTGACTTTCGGCTGACAATCAAAGGCAAATTGATCGGTATTTTATTTAGAGATTTGTAGAAATGGAATCTCAAGCGAAGATACCAAAGCTGGATGTTAAACCTGAACCAAATGCTGAAGATGAGAAGGCAGCAAGTGAAACGGTTCCAGAAGCCCAACAGGATATTATTGAAGAAATCGATAGGGTACAGAATGAAATTGATTCGCTAAATGAAGAGGCATCAGAGGAAATTCTTAAGGTAGAGCAGAAGTATAATAATTTGCGGCAACCGCATTTTACGAAGCGGGCAGATCTCATAAAGAAGATACCCAACTTCTGGGTGACTGTGGTATCCTTTCAAAAAGCCTCAATGGGAAACATGTTATATCATATTCAGATAATTATGATAGGCATATATTCCGTTTATTTTCAAGAGACAGAAATCAATGGCAATGAAATAGATTTTTGATCATTGAGATTGTGTTTTATCTGTAACAATGCATTGGCTTCTTTTGTTCTCTGAAATTGCAACCTAACTTAGTCATTGGATGGAAGTGTAACTAGGGATGCTCGTAGCTGTAGGGATGGCAGTCATTAAGGTTATGGACTATAGATTTAAGGGTATAGGGCATGGTATGAGTCCCTGCCATTATAAAACTTTCACTTAAGGTGAGGAGATAGGCCAGCCCTCTGTAATGCCAGGCAAAGCAATGATAAGGTACCTGCCTTGTGAATCCTAAGCCTTGAATTGCAGAAAGCTGGCAATTTTATGATTTACGTGTAAGCTTTCCTTAATCTTTGAAAGTTTGTGAATCATCCACAAATTTCCGCCCTTCTTGATGAAGAAGACGAAGAAGCTTTACACTACTTAGCATCATTAGAAGTGGAGGAATTTGAGGATATCAAATCTGGCTACAGGATAAAGTTTGTAAGTAGCCTTTTTAGATAGTTGTTAAAAACACTGTCTTCCATGAATGTGCAAATTAAATTTATGTAGATACAAATACAACAGAGTTTTATTTTGCACCACACTCTTGAGCCCTGGGTAATTGTTTTTATTTTTTGCCAGGGGTGGAAAAAATATTTTACTTTCTGGGACCATAAAAAATGTTGATAAAATTTCTGCACTACAAATATAAAAAAATGTGACAAAGTAGAACATGGAAACTCTTATTCCAACGGGATTTATCAATGGAGTAACCAGTTAATTAGTTAGTCTGTGATCAAGTTGAATTATAAAATTCACTAAGGAGGATAAAATAAAGTTTTGTAATGTTCTAATTTTTAAAATGATGGAAAGGTTCTAAGGCACTTTTTCAAACTGTTTGTGCTCTACTCCATGCAAATTTGCTAATTTCATTGAGCCTGTTGCAATGAGAGAGGTTGGGGCCATTCACTGCAATGGAAAACTCTTCATTTATATTTTCTTCTCCCATATTTCTGGTACCATCAAAATGATACTCATACATAGAAACTATTGACTCCAGAACTGACTCACGTGACTTCTTGACACAGGCTAAAACAATAGCCTGCATTACCATCTCTATGCCCACAAATAAAGTATTTGCATAGTTGAAAAACTTTTGAATGAGCTCCTTAGAATCTACAGTTTTGAGCTGTGCCAATGTGTAGCTTGATGTTGACTGTTGAAGTCTTTTAAAAAATTCTCTGTAGTTCTGCGAGGGCTTTCTCTGGCACAGAAGAAAGGGTCCTCACAGGTTTTGCCAAAACTACTTCCCTGAACTTGGGGAATTCTGTTTCAGCAATCTTTATACTTCCTCCATCCGGCTGGTGTAACTTAACAGCAAGTGCAGGCTGGTCAAGAATCATTTTGTGTTATGAACCATATCATTTGATGCTTGATCATACACATCAGATTTCAAACCACTGTGTATTTCTCTTAGCCAACACAGTATTTGCTTGTTTGATGCTGCTTTAGAATCAGATTTCATCCTCATGGTCAGAGACTGACTTTGTGTTTCATTTTGCAGGCCAGCAGCTTGAATCCCACACTGGGAGACAATAGGTAGTCCCCTGATTTCATTCTTTATTTTCAAGCCTTTCTTGTCTTCTTGGTTTAATGGCAACAGGCACCTCTGCTTCCTTGATTCTGGTGCCAGTGAGTTACATTTGCTGTGGTCATCTAAGCACTCCTCCATTTTAAGAAGAAAATCGACAGCTTCCATAAAGAGCTCCAATCTTTCATGTAGCAATAGTTGAACCATTTGAGCAACTTTCACTATCAAGCCAAATTGCCCATATGCATCTGCTAGGCCAGACAGTGTGAGCAGGAAACAGGTGTTTAATTTCTTCCCTTTAAGCTCTCTTGCCTTGTCTGCCTTTCCCCTCACTCTTGAATTTGCAGGTTCTGTCCCTGATCTGTTCTTCACCCCATCTAAGATTTGTTCCTCCAAGCAGGTTATTATTGCTGGGAACTCATGATGTATGTTTTTATATACCTGCCTTCTGCTGTTGGCAAATCAATACACAGTATTGAATACTGGATCAAAACACTATCAAGTCCTGTCTCAGATCCTGAGATAGTGAGTGCTCCATTTGAGTTTCTTCCTTGTTACTTTGCAGTCTTTCCTGGAGTGTCTAGCACTTTCCTGACTATTCTTGCAGATCCCAGTAAACATGCTTTCTGGATGATTTCAAGTCCAATTCTGTAATCAAGTTTTTCCAGTTCCCTCTGGAGCCTTCCTATCACTGAGCCTAATGCACCAATTATAACTGGCATTATAACGACTTTCTTCACTTCCCCTCTCCAAACTTTTAGAATTTGGTATTTAAGATCTGTGTAGGCATCAACTTTTTTCTTTTCCTTCTTCTGTATTCTCGTATCCAATGGACACACAATGTCTATTACATAGCACAGTTTTTTTTGTCAATGACAGTTATGTCAGGCCTGTTGTGCTCAATTTTCTGTTTTGTTTGGATGCTGAAGTCCCAAAGAATTTTCACTTTATCATTGTGCTTATTATTATTATTATTATTATTATTATTCGAAAAAATCTGCTGAAATGGAACCTTAGTCAAACATCTGACTGTGAATTCTGTCTTCTTCCAGAAACACTTCTACACGTTGTTGCTGGATGCAAAGTGTACCTTGACCAAGGACGCTATACTTGGCGTCATAATTCTGCATTAAACTTTCTAGCCACTTCCTTCCAAGCAATAAATGGGTCTTCTCTCTACGCAGATTTACCAGGCTTTCTTTCCCCTTCTATCATAACTGGAGATCAACTACGCCCTGACTTACTTCTCAAAACTAAGGAAAACTGTCTGTACGTTTTAGAGCTAACCATAGGCTTTGAAACAAATCTCAACTGCAATGCTGTCAGAAAGTCAGGGAAATATGCCACCCTCGTATCTGACTTAAAACTTCAGTTTAAGTCAGTCTCGTTTGTCAATCTTTCCATCAGTTCACTTGGTATTTTTGGCGACTCCTGCAGCTCATTCATCGACATGTGTGACTCTTTGTCCATTGATCATCAACAGAAACGCTACCTCATCTCCAAACTTACAAGCATCTCCATTCGCACCACATACTATATATTCTGCTGTAGAAACAAAACTTGGACTAATCCAGAGCTACACCCCTTTTAACAATTTTTTTTTTTTTCTCATTACTACGATGTAATAGTTTTTATTTTGTAAACACAGGCTAGCCAGTTACAAATTACCTTGTAATAGTGAGATTTGTAATTGTAGTTTTAACAGGAATTCAAAATGAAAAGTTTCCATTATTATTATAATATAGCGATCTTATCAAAGAACTGAGCCCTGCCTATAAACATGTTACCTTTGTTAACCTTTCTATGAGTGCCCTTGGCATTCTGGGAACCTCATCTACCTCTCTCTCTGACATGCTACACCAACTTAATTTTGACTCAAATCAAACTAAATCCATTTTGATGAAACTCATGAACATTTCTATCCGCTGCACCTACTATATCTTCTGTCGTCGAAACAAACCATGGCTAAGCCCCGAACTAATTGACTTTTAAATATTGTAATGCAGATAAGCCAATTATATGATGCCTGTCCTGTAAAAGCGAGTCGTATAATTGTAAATTTAAAATGTATTCAATGAAAATGAGATGTTTAAAAAATTATTACTATTGTTATTATTATTATTATTATTATTATTATTGTTATTATTATTATTACATTGCCATCCGTACTACGTACTACATATTTTGTTGCAAAAATAAACCATGGACAAATCCAGAATTACATCTGTTTTAATTTTGGTTGTTTTATTTTTCTCAGTTTTTCCTTTTACCTTACGATTGTTATAGTTTTTTTCTTGTAAAACCAGGCTAGCCAATTGCAAATTACCTTGTAATAGTGAGATTTGTAATTGTATATTTAAGTTGAATTGAAAATGAAATGTTTCCATTATTATTATCATCATCATTATTAGCATTATTATTATTATTATTATTATTATCATTATTATTTTTATAGCTTAAGGTTTGCTTACCATTCATTGCTTGTGTACAATAAACCATGCTTTATGCAACTAGTTGACTATTGTTTAAACAAGTGCTAGTCAAGATTTATTTGCTCCTAAGGCAAATTAAGGAGGGCATTAAATGTTGAGGACACAGTATGGAGGGCATCAATTTTTCAGTAAATTGATTATGTTTCTGTCCTCTGTGAATTAATTCTGTTTCTGTCCATTAGCACTTTTCAGAAAATCCTTACTTCACAAATGCCGCTTTATGTAAAGAGTTTATGCTGAGTGAAAGTGGAGAGCAGTCATGCAAAGCAACAAACATTGATTGGAAGCCCAATATGGTATGTGCCAAGTCATTTTATTTCAGCATGGCTTTGATACCTTCTGTCAAATTAATCCAGTACATTTGTGACAATAGATTCACCCCTTTTTTACAATTCAACATCACTTGAATGCTTGTTAAAATAAACCCTCTGCAGTTCTGTTTGTTTTGATGCAATGTACTTATGTGGGTGTGCAAAAAGAAATGTTGTTAATAAGAAAACGTTAGCAATAATTAGCCAAATGATGCTAGTTTATTTTTTAGCTGATGTAATGTTGAAAAGCCTTGAAGACCAGAGTTAAAAACTGTATATTATCCTTTAACTCAGGCACTAATATCCTTATTAACTTAAGCTTTAGATGTAAACAACAGAAAACAATTATCAATTAAACATCATAGTCATCTTTTATTGCTCTTACCACTGTGTAGGATCTTACAAACAAAGGCAATAAGATAGCTGCAGATGTTGGTCAGAAGCGACACCTAGAGGAGCCTGAGAGCTTTTTTGCATGGTTTAATGATCACTTAGAAGGACAAGCAGATGAAGTAGGGGAGCTAATCAAGGATGATATATGGCCTAACCCATTACAATATTATTTGGTAAGGTTCTCATTATTTAAGAACTGTAAACATCATTTGTAAGCTTCTTTCGAGTAAGGCTAGGAGTTAAATTCTAAAAGAAGCTTGTTGAAGTCAAGTTTTTAGGGCATGGCTATGATAGTTTAGAAAAGACAAATTACATACATACATGCATACATAATTTTAATTTGATATGCAGGTTTTGCTAATTAGCAGCATGTAGACTTGCTTACATACATACAATGATTAAATCATGAAAAGGCTCACACATATTCAGCAACAACTTCAATATCATTTTTTCCAAGCTTTACAGTGTTTAGCGGTCCTATGAAGATTTTGTTTGTTATAATAATAATTTCAGATTTTTTGGAATGTATTGTCATACTATTATTGCTACACCTTGCTGCTATTTCATTTACTGTCTGTTGTAATGTTTGCATCACTTCATCAATCGATGATCCAATGTAAACATATTCAGTGTCATCTGCATACATGTTAAGTATCCCTCTCATTTACTTGGACAGCAAAAAACCTTGGACCAAGCAAGGACCCCAGGGGTACACCAAGTTTTCCTTCCTCTTCCTCTCCTTGATCTCCTACAACTACATGTTGTTTACTCTGTTCTAGATAGTTTTCCAAGATGTTGTAAAGACCACCAGCTATGCCGATTTGTTTCAGTTTTTCTTTAAGTATTTTATGATTTATCGAGTCAAATGCTTTTTTGAAGTCAATGAGTAAAACCCCGATGATTTTTCCTGAGTCAAGGGCATGTTTGCAAGTTTCTGTTAGATGTAATAACAGAAGTTCTGTGGACCAACTTTATTTATATTCCCACTGGTTTGGACTTGCTATTGCAGATACCATGTAGCGTTTATCAAACGACTCACAAATAATGGCTTCTTAAACTTTGTTTGGAATTCCTAAGATAGAGATAGGTCTATAGTTCCCCCTTTCTAAAGTTTCTCCACTTTTGAAAATACAGCTGGAAAATTTGATTGTTCTTTGCACCTTTTCATGACTTCAAATAATCCTTTAGTTGCAAAATCTCCAAATAGTTTCAGATCTGTTGAGGATATGTTATCATGGCCACCAGATTTATTTGATTTTACTTTCCTGTCTTTAATAATAATGATAATAATAATAATTATAATAATTATAATAATTATAATAATAATAATAATAATAATAATAATAATAATAATAATAATAATAATAATAGAACTAATAATAATAATAATAAAAATAATATCATATTTATACAGGTTAACTTTGGTCAGCAACAACATGCTGTTATCAATAAAGGACCTGTATAAAATATACATGGATTACCGAAATAAAAAGTATGTACATGATGAAAATGAAATCTTAAAGTTAAATTTTTACAAAAATTCTTAAATCTTAGAATTAAAGTTTCACACTTCATTTTGTCTGTTAGTTTATTAAAAATATTTGCTCCTTGAAAGTAAAAGGCCTCCATGCCTGCTTCTGAGTGTACTTTGGGCAAAACAATATTTTTTGCATTGGCACCAGTACACTGTGTGTTTTACTCTAGTGAAGTAGTTTCGAAAGGTGTGTGGCGATACGCTATTCAAACTTTTGAAAACTTCAAGAGGACACATCTTGTTTCGTATACTACTGATTTTCTCCAGCTCTACACTGTCCCTGTTGCCATTTATTACTTTTAGTGCCCGTCTCTGAATGTCCTCATAAACTGTCTTTTTTGATGGTGCCATGTGAAGGAACACATTGTTACAATAAAGCAGTAAAATTGGTAAAATTGTTACTTTGTAAATTGTTTCTGCTGTGTAAGGACTGATATTATGCCGTATACGCGACAATAACTTTACTCTAGATGTGGCTTTTTTATTGTTTTTTCGAAGTGATCAGAAAACGTCAGGTTTTTGTCGATCTTTACCCCTAGATATTCGTATACGTTAGATTCTGTAATCTTTTTGTGATTGATCTTGATCTCCATAGGTTTTGATTTCAAAGTTCTCTGGTGTGTACCATAAAGGACGCACTCGGTCTTGGTCTTTTTAAGATTAATAACGAGATTATTTTACTGAAACCAGTTAGCAATCTGTTTTAGATCACTGTTTAACTTTCCTTCAATAACATCATATTTTTTACCAGCAACATACAAAACAGAATCATCAGGGTCATTTCACACTGGTTTAAATTTTCATTAATATCGTTTATTAGGTAAAAAGCAATGGACCCAATATGGATCCCTGTGGTACTCCACAGGAAATATTTTGACTTTCTGACAAGGCTCCATCATATTATACAATTTGCGTTCTACCAAACAGATAGCTCTCAAACCAGAAAAGCTCCTTCTTTTCAATACCATAATTAAGAAGTTTAGATAAGAGTCTCATATGGTCCACTGTGTCAAAAGCCTACACTATCACTATCATTTCTTTTATTTTCTGTTCACTGATGGGAAAATCTTCAATCCTTTGTTGTTGGGAATAGTCAGAAATTGTTCCCATCCCAAAATCATCAGGTGTATTATCAGAGACACATTTCTCTCCTACTGTTGCAAAGAAAATGTTTGAATGATAAGCTTTCTCTTTGTCCAAGCTCAGGATTTGGTCATTTTCACCTCTTGTAAGACCAATCTTTGTATTTTTCTTCTTTTCTTGCATTTTTAACAGTTTTCCAGAAAGCAGATGCATAGCCAGCCTTTTCAAATTTCTCTTGCCAATATTTAGCTTCACTATTTCTACAGAGCTAGTTACATAGTTTCTCTGTTTTTTGTATGATTGCCATGCTTCTTTATTGGAAGAATCCATTTGGACTGTTCTGACTAGTTTTTACCTCAAATTAATCTGCTTACGTATGGTAGTATTCATCCATGGCAAACTGTCTGACCTCACTTTTGCCTGCCTTTTTGTAATTTATGTATCAACAATGGATTTGCAGAGATATTCCCAGGCCCAAACAGTATCATCAAGATCTTCAAATACTGAGCATATCTGCCATGGAGTGATTTCAAAATCATTTTTTGCAGCATCAAAATTTACATTTTTGGTAGTTTTTCACTTGTTTTTACTTGCTTCTTCCGTATTCTGAAAAGATTGACTACTGCAAATACTATGTGATGGTCTGAGCGACCACTATCAAAGCATCCAGTTACACTAATTTTTGGTGTATCAGATGTGATGATCAGATCTATGATTGTCATAAGAACTTTTTGGGATGCAAGCTTGACATCAATCCAAGTAGATTCAATATTTGTATTGTTCTTAAGGTCTTCTCTTTCAAAACCATTTAGGCTATCTGCAAATTATATCAGGCAACCTGCCTAGCTGTTATCAGCGAAAAGCCTATCTTTTCTAGTGATTTGATAACCATCAACCATTATCTGCTCATTTTAATATTAACATAGAGATGTGTTTCTGAAATGGCAAGAATATCAAACTTCACTGCATGAAGTAAGATTTTTATCTTATGTAGCTTGTTGAATAACCCATTCACATTTGTATAGGCCACTTTTAAGCCTTTGACCTTCAGACCTTGCTTGTTCATTATATCATAACATTAGAGGTTATTTGTTCAGTTGAAGCTGGGAACCTTTTTTGGGCAGTTGAAGCTGGGTGGTGTAGGAAGGGCTGTTGTAGTTGTTGCTGTTGTAGGCCTAAACATGCCGAACAGCACCAGATCCACTCCCTTGACTTTTGATGTTAATTTTAGTGGGATGTACTGCAAATTTTGGCTCCATGTTATCATTGTACTCAACAGACAAGGGACTTATGTGCTATCATCTTGTTCTGTTTTTGTTCTTGATTTTGTGCTTCCTTTTCAGCCACAGATGCCACTCTTTTGCTGTCAGGTTTAGGCTCCATTTTACTTTTAACTGTGAACTACAACTTGTTTTATTTCTGATTACAGAATGCTGGTGGTGATCTAGAAGATGGTGAGGTAAGTAGATTATTGATTCCAAAAATCTGCCTCTTTCTTCTTCACATTAATGGAAATATTTAGAAGTGATTTCCGAGAAGTGACTTCTCAGAAGTTATACAGAAGTGATAAGTGACAATAATTAAGTAACTGTTATAAACAACTTTTAACTATCAGTAAGCCTACTTAGTTTTCTCGTTTCCGGCAGGCATACTTTGTTACCAGGACCTTATGTATTGTTATGCAAAGAAGTACTGAGCCCTAAAGTTACACCACATCAGTTGTATTGTATTGCATTGTATTGCATTGTATTGTATTTTATTGCATTGTAATAATATAATTTATTGAATGTTAGTTGCTAGATGTGAAAAAACCCTAATTCAGACTAATGTAAAGAAATTTTAAAGATTGTTGAAGGCAATTAATTTACTGTAAAAAAGGACACTTACATTTATTTTCAAGGAACCAAATTCAATTTCAATTTATCCTTAATTTTGTTGTGAGAACGTTGTTGATCAGTTGCCATTTCGCCTACAATGCCATTTATCAAAAGCAGCTTCTAGACCAAACTACTGTTTGTTAAATTGAATTAAAAAAACAATATTACTGATACTTTTCACTAAAAGGTGTTTTGAGTTATAGGTTTGCATCTTATTATATGTAATGGTCCAATACAGGATTCCTTCTCTTTGCCAAAGATACTCACGTACCATAAGGTTGACGTTTGCTGGGAGTTTTCCAACTTGCCAGAACTACCATCCCAACACCTCAATGATATCATCAGTCTTTTCATTTTGATATTGCTGTAGAATTCCAGGGATGGAACATATTTTCTTCTTGCTATAGGATGAAAATATTGTGGTTGTTGAAGATGATAACCTTGGCGATGACGGCGATGAGGAATATGACCTTGAAGGGGAGGAAGGTGATGATTATGAAGAAGAGGTAAGGATATAATAAAAAATGTTTTGTTGATCTCGAATGATTATGAAGAAGAGGTAAGGATATAATCAAAAGTGTTTTGTTGATCTCGAATGATTATGAAGAAGAGGTAAGGATATAATCAAAAATGTTTTGTTGATCTCGAACGATTATGAAGAAGAAGCAAGGATATGATCAAGAGTGTTTTGTTGATCTCGGAAGATTTTGAAGAAGAGGTAAGGATATGATCAAGAGTGTTTTGTTGATCTCGGATGATTTTGAAGAAGAGGTAAGGATATAATCAAAAGTGTTTTGTTGATCTCGGAAATTTACCATACTGATGCTGCATACCAAGTAGTGTACCGGAGTCAGTGGCGGCAATTGCCCTCCTGCCGATCAAATATCAGGGGCGCCAGAATGGATTTTCACAATAAAGGGGCCCTAGGCGCCTTTCCTATTCCTAGAGGGGGAGGGGTAAGTTAGCCTAGTTTTAGACGGAGACTTGCCGTTTTGGTTCAAAATTTGGAACCATTATTCTGCACATATCTAAAAAATGTTACCCATAATTCCGCAAAAATGATGATAATTATGCCCATAATTCTGCAAGGCAATAAACATTTTTCAAGTCACAATAGAATCATCCAAAAAATTTGTATGTCCTTTCCATCCAAACTCATATTACGCATATTTCATACTTTCATTTCTAACTGGGCATTGATTTTGTTTATGGCAAATCTTCCTCTTAATATTTTTGCAATAAATTCCTAAAATGGTACCCATAATTCCGGATATGTTTCTAAAACTAATACCGGTAATTCTGCAGAAAAGGTACCACTAAATAATGGCACGTCTCCGTAACTCAAACCTGTCAAGGTACTCTCCAAGCCCCCAGCCTATTGAGTTCACCGGGTAGAACAATTAATTTGTCTACTTGAAACTGACTCAAAAGCCTGAAAATGAGCTTAAATTGGATGAAACTTTTCCAAAATGCCGGATGGACTCTTTTTTTCGAACTTCCAAAAGAAGGGTAGGCTTTAACCTACAATCCCTCTTAGCAACCGCCCCCTACCCATATTCCCTCGCTTCTCTGCTTTCCTGTCTTAAGTAGACTTGGCTCAAAGTATGCCTCATTGCTACGTTGTTTCAATGACAGCTCTTGTTTTAAATCGATCTTTCACATGCACCAGATAGCTAGAAAAGTATTCTGTTATAACTGTGCATAAACACTGTAACCTATTTATAAACCCTTATAATTCTTGCATCATGTTGAAAAAAATTGGTACTGACAGTATTGTGAGCTCAGAGTCAGGGCTGGTTTGTTTATAAGCGAGTGCCACCAATCAGCGAAGAAATATATCAGTTTTCTCTGTATGGGTAAGACACTTGCTACCATTGGCTGGCCTTCATTTTTTAGAGAGATAATTTTATCTCAGATAAGGTTTGGTTAAATTTTTGACCCCGCCTGGCACATTAGTTTTTCTACTAAAGACCTGCCCATGTTTTGCTAGAGTTGGGGACATCAGTAATATGTAAAAGACCGTATTTAGAATCCTATTGGCTGATCAAACGTTAAAGGTAGCAATAGTTTGCTCCCCGGCGAAAAAATACCAACTCGCGTCATTATAACAGCAACAACAATAAAGCGTAAGAAATAGTTGAATAATTTTAACCTGCTTCGCCTTGATACAAAGAAAACTTGAAATTGGTATGTTACGGATACCCTTGAACTATAAGCAATTTTCACAAATGTAGCTGGTGCACAAACTATACCTGCTTTGCAACTTTGAGATGCTATCGCCTTAAGTGACGCTGATACAAAGTTGCTTGAGAGTTGTCAGCCCCTAACAGCTACTTTCAAACTCATTGATTTCACCTTCAACTAAAAGTCCTGCCAATAATGCACGAACTACGAGTAATGAGCGTTGTATTTTCCATTTCTTTTCCCTAGTTCTACATACTACTTCCGCTCCGCCTCCCCCCCCCTAAAATAACAATGTTGATCGTTTAAAAAAATATAATAAAATCGCACGAAAAAACGTATTTCATAATCTCCTACATCGCTACATAGTTCCAAGGGGAAAAGGGGATTGCTTAATCTTATCTAGAAAACTGCTAGTATTCCAGGACTTTTGGCAGTGATTCCAGATAGTATAAGACAATTTGTTATCCAGTAGTAGCCGCTTGGGAACCTCTACTTGACAATATGTTCGCCTTGAAGAAAGAATTTTTCGTGCAAGCTATGATTTATTAAAAGCTTACGAAGCCTTTTTTGGAAAATCGCCAGCCCCCTTCCTCAAAGATATGGCGCATCTGCCAAGATATTGTTTCTTGCGCATCGAAGACATTGTGCTAGGATGGGAAAGGAACCTGAAAGAGGGATGAAAAGAAACCCACAAAAGGCCCTATTCGAGGGGAGCTTTGCAAAAGTGGTTTTTACAGCCATTCAGGATAATTGCTTGGATTGAAATCCCATAATCCATTAAAGATTTTGATTCCATTCTAAGATTTAAAAAAGGACTCAGATTCCACCTTTTGAGCTAAAAGAAATCAGCCCAGCACAAATCCATGGGAGGTCAGACAATTTATATTAGCTTAACCTCGACAAATTTTTATTGTAATGTAGTTTCTTTTCGTATATCATAACTTTTCATTTTTGCTGAATGCATGTCGTGTATAAATGAATAAGATTGAACGAGTAAATAGAAATAATTCAAATATTTACAGTACTGCCACTAAACGATATAACTGCCCCTTTGCGAATATCCTGAAGCATTATTTTAACGAGCCTTCCTCTGTAGAGGATTACCAAATGGTTTTAGAATTTCAGAATTTCAACCGTCTCCGTTGTTTTCAGTCGAATACGAGGCTAATCGATGGCGACTTGGCTGCGTTCACACTGCAGCGAAAAAAAGAAGCGAAACGAACAGGGGCGAACAGAAGCGAACGGAACAACATGCTGTGAGCGAAAAATCGCGAAACAAACAGTTTTGGAGGGTGAAGTTTGATGACGCAGTGGCCGATTTAAAACAAAAATAATGACTTTACCTGAAAGTTGATTTCTTTAATATTCTCTTTTTTTAAAAGGAAGACGGAAGACGATTTTTGGTTCACGAAATAAAAAGAGGCGAGATCTGATTTTCATGAATATTTGCTTTTATCTGGTGAATATTATAATTTGGTGCCGCAGTTGAGGAATGACGAGGCTATTTCAGATTCAGAACATAGTCATCTACGTTTTGAAGTCGGAAATGAATTTATATTGGTTGGGGGATGTCCATTGTTATGCTTCCCATATAAAGTACAGTTGGCAATTATTGGGGGCCACCCTCTTCCCCAAATGGGGCCATGTACTTTCATACTGGTCTGATTGAAAACAAGCATCGCCAGACTATCCCCAATAACTTATTGGTTGCATGGCAACGGTATAATCAACGTCCATTGCTGTTATTCCGTTTCGTTCGCAGCGAACAAATGCATTAGAAGTGATCTTCTCGCTCCGTGTTGCTATCGCTCTGTCTTGATGTAAACAGGCGCATTGTTTTCAGTACAAACTATCTGAACGCGAATTCGCTCATTCGCTTCGCTACGCTATTTCGCTCTCAGTGTGTACGCAGCCGTAATCGTTCAGCGATTCATAAGCAGTTGCTGTTGGATTTCCATAATCACAAGCAGTTGCTGTTTGATTTCCATAATCATAAGCAGTTGCTGTTGGATTTCCATAATCATAAGCAGTTGCTGTTGGATTTCCATCATCATAAGCAGTTGCTGTTGGATTTCCATAATCATAAGCAGTTGCTGTTGGATTTCCACAATCATAAGCAGTTGCTGTTGGATTTCCATAATCATAAGCAGTTGCTGTTGGATTTCCATCATCAAAGCAGTTGCTGTTGGATTTCCATAATCATAAGCAGTTGCTGTTGGATTTCCATAATCATAAGCAGTTGCTGTTGGATTTCCATAATCATAAGCAGTTGCTGTTGGATTTCCATCATCAAAAGCAGTTGCTGTTGGATTTCCATAATCATAAGCAGTTGCTGTTGGATTTCCATAATCATAAGCAGTTGCTGTTGGATTTCCATAATCATAAGCAGTTGCTGTTGGATTTCCATAATCATAAGCAGTTGCTGTTGGATTTCCATAATCATAAGCAGTTGCTGTTGGATTTCCATAATCATAAGCAGTTGCTGTTTGATTTCCATAATCATAAGCAGTTGCTGTTGGATTTGCACAATCATAAGCAGTTGCTGTTGGATTTCCACAATCATAAGCAGTTGCTGTTGGATTTCAATAATCATAAGCAGTTGCTGTTGGATTCCCATAATCATAAGCAGTTGCTGTTGGATTCCCATAATCATAAGCAGTTGCTGTTTGATTTCCATAATCATAAGCTTGTGGATAGTGGTCCGAAGCTAAGACCTTTTTGTTCCAAAACGAGTAAGGATGGTTTTGCTCCTGCGTCTCAGCATATGGTCGGGATTTCAATTTAGCTTATTTTGAAACCATCCTGTAAGAGAAGATTAACTTAACCGATGATTGACTTGTAATGCTATGTCGAATTTTGTGATTTATAATAGGTTCTAAAGAAAGTAATCATATTGTAGCCATATTTTTAGGCGGGTGGCTATCTGATGATCTAGATCAGCCAAATTAAATGATAAACTCGTATGTTTGCCAAGAGTGAAGATTTTTAAAGTGTTTCAGAATCAAATCTCAATCTTAGAAAACGCGAGTGACTGTCTGGTGCGAGTTTGTATCCGTTGTCCCGAGGCTACTTTTTCAACTTCCACACTCTTTTCAACAAGCATTATGGTATAGAATGGTCATTCATTTTTCCTTGCTCCTCACTCTAAAGATGTAGGCAGTAGCGGAAACATTGTTGAGATAACGATGTTTATATAGTATTGAGTTTCCTTTGAAGTGTTAGAGGACATCAAAAGCAGTAGAATAGCAATCCTAAGATAACTGATGTTGATGAAACTAATTTTGGAATACGTTCATGACCAATAATGTAATTAAAGATTTCTTTATGGCCTCATCGGCCTACACTTCAGTGTTAGCGTTGTAAGTAATGGCAATTTCAGTGTTTGGCTAACAGATAAAAACACAACTAAATAGGAGCAGTTTATTGAGTATGATAAATAAAGTGTAAGCAAGAAATCGCAGGTAGTGGCAAGAGAATTGGCGGTAACACGCCCTTGCGATTCTGAGGAGGGTCATTTAAAATAAACTCATCCATTTTCTTAATGTGCTCCAGTTTCTTAATGTTCTAGATATTTCAATATTCATGGTTTCTTAAGAGTTTCTTAATTACGATGCCATGAATTTTACATTTGCGGTTACTTATATTTAAGTTTTCATTCTAGGAAGAAATTTTAGTTAATGCTAGGAACTGTTACAGAAGATGAGAGACTTTGAATCTATTTTTTAATTTTTCCAAAGACAGAACCAAGACAGTAACACCTTTGTAGAACAAAACAGAACATAGCAACAAAAAGTAACTATCCGATCTAACTAAAGTAAAGCTACTTCAATCTCATGAATATCTTCTGAAGAAATATAATCGTCCGAGTTGTCTTCGTCATAGTATACCCGAAACTCTTGCAATTCTCTGTTGTACCATGATATTGCTTCAACAAAGAAACCATTTTCAAAAAATACTTTCAATTTTCTGCCAACAAATTCATGAGTGTAGTCACGGCCAGCTCCATAGTCGCCCTTTGCTGCCTCGTTGTCAAGCTGCTGTTCAATGTTTTCTGCAATTTCTTCGTTGCTAACTTCTTTATTACTTGCTACTGCTGGTAACTCACATGCTGGTACCTCTGCTGGGCCGGTTATTGGCAAAGGAGGTGGAACAACATAATTTTTAAGACCTTCTAAGGATCTATTTTATCGTCAGCAGATCTATCGCACCAAACTTTGTCATAATCTTCAGCAGACAACTTTTATGTAGCATTTGCAACCCAGTGCGTCAACAATATTCGTCTGTTTTTTGCATCGAAAGAATCTTCAGAGTTGCCTAACCACAAATCTATATTATCTCCCTGCTCTAACCAGTCGTCTTGCTTTGCCTGTATGAGAGATTTTAGTAATCTACCATACCCACAATCAGTTGGCTACCAGTCTGTTGCACCAGTCAGCTGTCTGTTGCACCTGCGGGGGCATACCACACTATTCCATCAAGACCTTTGACTGCTTGCTGAAACTGGGCAGTAACTTAGGCCTCAAAATTCCTCGAGTTTGCTTACTGCTGGGGCAAATGTACGTTCGACCCAATTGATGCTGAAAGCCGTATCAACCCATGCACTGCTTTGCCTGTAGATGTCAACCCCTTAGTGATAGGCTGCTATTTCATCTTTCCTTATTTGCCTCCAAGACCCACGAAAAACTATTGCTGTTTTTATATCCCTGTTTTTCGGTCCAAAAGCCACTTGTAGAGTGCACTGGCGCTTATCCAGGCCACTCCCAGGTTGACTCACCCATACCCTATGATGCGATCTTTTTTCCTTTGCAATAAGAGCTTCGTATGTTGTTTTGCGATCGACTGCGAATGGAAGTGGGACTTGATCTACGTTAAGTCTCTTCTTAGGTGGAAACCTTCCCCATTTTGGATCAAATTCAGCTCTTTCACTGCCCGACGTTATAAGTGTTTCGCGTAAGGTGCTATGCCACTTCATCATCCCTGGCAAATAATGCTGTTTTTCTGCATGTTTTTTCTCTGTACTCTTCAAAGTTTGATCTTGTACCTTTGAATGAACTCACTGATTGCGCTGAAGGGAAGTTTATTTGACGATTTTGGATTCAAAGACTGGTTTATCTTATTTGCATGTATGTGGAGCCAAGCAAAGGAAGCTTTCAGGCCTTTTGAACGGGCTTCGGCAAACTTCTGATAAAGGCGGACATAAATCTTATTATTTTTGTTGGAGGGTCGATTTTTTGTTAGAGACTTCTTGTATTCCAATGCTGCAGAATCGTCTATGGTTTCTTGTGACTTGCTGATGTTGAACTTCTTGGCAACTTGCGTGACACATTTCTTATCCTTATTCAAACTGTTCAATACGTCCATCTTGAATTGAAATGTGTACGATTTTCTCTTCAATGCACCTCTCCCTCCCTTTCCTTTTTTTGTGAAAAGCTGTTTCCAGTTGGTCATTCTCACCATCGCTGGTCCTATAATTTTCACGTTGCTCAATTTCATCTCTCTTCTTCAGCTTCCTTACGCGATTTGCTTTCAAAGTTACTTCGTTGTGGTGCCATGTGATCAAATCCAAAGGTCTTGCCTTCTTCTTCTGCAAAAATTCTTTTCGGTTTATCAAAATCGTTATGGTGCCATGTGACATGCATGCAAAATCCTTGTTGATTTTAAGACATTTTTCGCAGAAGTTACATTTGATTTTAGAGCCGTTCTCTTCTGTTTTACTCGGCGACATTGGTAACCATTGCCCTCGGTGAAGAACTTGTTTTGTGAAACCAAGCGAAATTAACGTTTTTTGTTTCTTTTCTGCGATACTTTCACTTCATGGAAGCACATTAAGAAACGTAGGAGTGTTAGGATTTCCAAACAAAACTTGCTTTGGAGGGGTCTTCACAACAAATTAGACTTGTCTATGTTTCTACTGTTAAAAAATTATGCTATGTTATGAAATGTTCGTGACCTTTTTTATCACGTAAAGAGATTCGCTTCCGTTCTGATGCTGTATTTAGTGGGAAGTATCTTTTTATTCCTTGTGTCTTAAGTTCTAGGCCAAAAGGGCAATCATGTTCTTGGATTTTACAAAAAATCGATGTTCTCAGTTTTATCACGACTTAATAGTTTCTTAATTTTTTTACTGTGAGTAGTGAAGTTTCTTAATTTTTTCTGACTGTCCAGTACTCGTTTCTTGTTGCCAGTTTCTAATAAAAAAAATAAGTGCAAACATAGTTTCTACACAATACACAAATTCAGATTTTTTCCCACTAATAAGTCAGATATTGAAGGGCCAAGCTACATATTTGCCGCTGCTATCAAATGACGTTTTTTGGGTCGTATTGTTTTTTCAAAATTGTTTTCTATTATTATTTGGTATTTTTGTTATCTTTCTTGGTTTCTCTATGAATTCCATGGTTGCCAGAAATGTGGTCGACTTAGCCAACAACTTGACCAGTCTTTGTGAATGATTTAAAGAAAGGAGATGGAATCACTAGACCAAGGCCATCATATTTCCAGCTATTTACCCTTGAAACGTCGAACAAATTTTAGAGGAATCGTCCACTGCAAGCGCGCCCTATCGTTGGTGATTAGCTCATTGGCCTCTGCGGCTCCGGATGAATACAACCTTTTTCCTTGTGGTTCTTTCCTCGTACAAAATCCTTCCAATCCGCGGATTCTGCGAAGAAACAAGGCAAATAAACCGAATTTCCGACCACGAGACCTTACGCAATGTAGTTTAAGCTTTTATTTTTATTCCAGTGACAATGGTGTGGTTTGTGTGGAAACCCGCAAGAGTCATTGAGGTCAAGGCATGTGGCCTTCTGCGCTGGCATGTAGTCGTGGAATATGATGTTTTTGTTTGATTTGTGAAATGATTTGGTGCTTTCCGTGATATTTGGTTTGTTTTATTCGAATATTCGTTTCAGAGTAAGCTATATTTCAGATTGCAGTTGAAGCAATTTGCTACTGTCTCTTTAACGGAAAACAGATGTGATTAACAATTGTTATTAGCTCCGAACCTGGAAAGCTGCCTTTTTAAGCTTGACCGTCTGGGTTTGGCTTGAAAATTGCGAAGGTAGTCGTATCTTGTAAATGACTGACTATGGAAATCTTAATTCTTGGAAAGAACAAAGGAAATCACTTCATTATAGAAGGGTAAAGACAGTCGTTTCGTCGATTTATGGATGAAAGAAGACAAACATTGCCTAATCCGTAAATTTTCGAGGCGGTGGAACATTTCTATTGATGATAGGACACCACAGAGGCTCAATACTTTTGGAAATGTGCAAACCGAATTGAGGGAAATCTAGTAAAGTTCTGTAGCAGTTTCTTCAAGGTTATTAAGAAAGTTGAAGTGCATTGAATGGTAAGTTGGTTGTGGTGTTTTGGAGCAAGAGTTTGGGAAGCCGCAGAACAGCGTGCTTGCTCTAGGAAAATATTAATCTTCTTCAGAGTTGAGCTATCAAAGAATGCAGACAAACTCATGTACTCCTTTTATCAGTACATGCTAATATGAGTGGGGTCAAAGTGAAACTTGAGCCCCTTGATTATGAAAGCTCCCAGTGTACCGTCGTACCTTACAACAATCCTGCAAAAGAGGCACAGAAGCTAAGTCCTGGATCACGCCATTTAAACGCCAACGCAAATCAAGGTAGAAGAAGCGAACTTGAAAATTCTAACACAAATTATGGACTTTGTCAACAAACTGAACATTATTTGCAGCGATCTTCGGTGAGTGACGAGATGCCCACGCTAATTCCAATTCGTAGCTCTCGTGGTTTGACTAACGGTACGATCTCGGGTCCGCAATATAAACCCGTAACTGGAACGCAGAAACAGCTAACGAACTCTCGTCGTGCAGTTTCGGATTCTGGTGGAAATATATTTTGCGGAACGGCTGCCCATGCCGAAGTATTCGTTGAATCAAACAGTTCAATATCAGTATCTGAAATTAATCGCAAGCTGAATATTCTTTTAGCAAATCAGAACAAAATTATGTCACAAAATGATCGTATTTTGAGTCAACTCAGTGCAACAGTATGTTCCAATCAACAGCGCGGTTTGTCAGAAGATGAGCTATTTTCGTGCAAAGAAAGGGAAGGTAATGTAAATAAAGGAGCTGAATCAAGTGAAGAAAGAGCAGATATAAGAGCTGCACGCGTTGAAGCATCACATAGAATGTATAACAGCGCAAAAGGTGGCAGTAATTATCACTCGCGTCCAGCCTCTTATTCAGACCAAAACCACTTCAACACAAATTGTGAACTGGACTTAGGCCCACCTCCTAGAAAGTCTCGTATTGTTTCTGCTACCGATGGCAGATCTACCGGCGGCTCACACAGGTCCACGCCCAGGTCACCATCACGTGATTTCACGGTTGGTTCATCAGTTGTATCTATGAACTCTTTTCAGGGCAACCATGCAGGCGCCCAAATGGTATCGACTAACAGTGTCCTGCCCTTATACGCAAATCAGTGTAATATGGCTGTATATGTCGTGAGGGGAGGTGACGAACCTAGCCAGATGACTGTTTTACCAGTTCAATGCAACCAAAATAAATCAGGATTGTCACAATCAAACAAGAGCAATTCGATACTGTCTGCACAACCAGCATTGCTGTATAATGAATCAACTCGTCAATACGAGCCATCGTATGTCACTGGCATAGCACATCCGGGTCCCGGCAACACTCAACCTGATCTTGCATCAGCATCTCGCGAGGGAAACCCCTCTAACTCATTGCGGAACACCTCAGAAAGGTCACCTAGCTATCCTGTAGGAAACATTCCAAATGATTCTAACGTCCACCCCAATATAACAAACGTTATCAGCTTGAGAAAAGGGTCTGTAGAGTCAGCATCAACAAATGGAGAAAGGTGTCAAAATGTCGCTGAAAGCCACCTAGAGGCAGTGGTCTCGTCTGCAGCACAAATGTCTTCTCCTCCCTCTCCAATCATCATCGAGGAAGACATAAAACCAATGGCCTTGCCCTCGCAAGAAGAGCTGCTGCATTCGCAGTTACGGAGTTTCTCGATGCGAAATTACGCTGTCCAGCTTATGCGTGCATTGTTTCGGCCACACGAACTGATGCATCGATCGGTTTATGAGAATAGCGAGAGAAAAGGCTTGGACAAAAAACGTTTGCAACAGATAAAGGAGTACGTTTTTCAGATCTATCCAACTCCAAATAAGGAAAAGAGCCTTGCTTGGATTGAATGCATTTCTGCAATGAACGAGGCTATTAGAGCTATGAAGTGAGTTTTCAAATTTACAAAAACTCAATAATATAAAGAGGTTGTAAACTTGTTGACTTTGTCAGTGAGTTGATGCAATCCATTTCGGCGTTTTAGGGTAAGCAGCTGTATAGAGACACTGAGTTTAGTTGTCTTGACATTAGGTTTAGTAGTTGTTTAGAGAGACATAAAAGTGGTGTAGTAACTGTATTTTCACGAATCTGGACATGTTTTTTGAGAAAGGTCGGTTTTTTAATTTTGACTTTTTTACATAAACATTTTTATGCAGGGCTTTATCCGACCAAACAGTTCTTTTCTGCAAGTTCATTTCAAAGTTTACCTCACTAGTACATTTTTATGAAGATGCAAAGTGTTTTGTGGACGTAACAGTCTATTGCTCACCTTTCTAGGCCATTTACATTATAGAAATCAGATAACGAAATCTGTGGCACCAAGGGTTCGATTTCTTCTTCACCGATTGTAAATCTACTAAAATTGTTTCCATTAGATAATTGTAATCCTAATTCTTAAATTTCGTGTTAACAAAACATTAAAGTGATAAACAAAGACATGTTCACTTTCAATCCTGGCACTATATTCTCATATAAAGGGCTTCTTAATTAGACCAAGATATATTTAGAACTTCTACTTATCTTTTCTGATATGAGAGTAAGATAACTCTAGGAGAAAAAGGAGAGAACTAAGGAGGGCTAAGAGAATTCTGTAATCCAGATGTTGTCAAATCTTTTAATATTAGTCAACAGCTTATTCGATCAAGTTACGAAATATGGAAAAATAGTTTCCTTTTTCGTTAAGATTAAATGAGTAAATATTTTGCAGACGAATCTTTAAATTTTTTCTTGGAAACTATTCAAACAAACAGTTCCAAAACTAACCATGCTTATCTCATGCATTCAAAAGAATATATTTTCCTGCACACAAATGACACGAACTTTACGATTCCCCACCCACAATAATATCACCATTAATATATAATAAAGTACGAATACCAATAGTCTCCGAACTCCCTTCGCCTAAACTTGATTAAAATGCGGCAAAGATGAAAAATTGTAGTCGTATTTAGTCATATGTCTCCCGGAGTAGTTAGATTAGATGTTGTGGATGAGAGGTTAATCTCGCCCCTTCTCTTACCAGCAATCGAATTAGATTGTAGACCCAGTTAAGTTTCACGTAGACTTGTTACTCTTTAGAATTCACTCTTCTTATCCAAAATACTTTCTCCGTCAATTCTGTATTAATCTGTTACTCATCAATTTGAGACAATTTTCGTAAGAAGTGCTTTTTAAAAGATGTTTATTTAAGAAGAGTGATTCTGTGTTACTTTTATAGTTTCTCTTATTCTGCTAAAATAAAGTTGCATTAAAGTCAAAGCTGTTAAAATAAAGGTGTCAAGAGCTCTAAAAATGTCTGCGATAGTGTTACGTCATGTTGTTGTCTTATCAAAGCCAGAAACAGCCAGAGTCATGCTTTCTGGAACTGGTCAGTGACGTCTCGCTTGACGCTATCGGCCATTCTTACGGCTCTTCCTTCTACATACAAACCAGCCTTCAACGACGCCTCTTGCTCAAAGAAACATCTGTTCTTTATTGATCGAATTCCTTCGTTTTCTATAATAATTGTTCGGTTTTTAGGCAAAATTAAAAAATGTACGCGATATTCAAGCGATCTTTTAATCCATTCTTTTTTGTGCGATCCGAAACCACATTTCATGCTAGATTACTGGAGTACATTGAGTTGCGTCCTTAAGAATGAATGCAAAAGAGGTTACATTAAGGCCAACCAATGCCAAGCCTCGAGGTTTATGGAACGACACACCAGTCAATCCTTGTTACGTAGCTGTAATAATGGTGATATTTTTTTAGTTGAAGCCAGTTGAAACAGCAATGGTCGATCAGTTGCTTTCCGTTGTCTTATAACCACTTATTTAGACAAGAATAAATGGTTTGAATATAGGTTACCTTGATCGTTTCATGCGATTGGTCATAAAGCATCTTAGAAGAACAAAAAGTGTAGCTTGTAACAATGTGACGGCCTTCTTCCGACTTAAGGCCCAGCTCATACATCGAATTAATAGCTTTTCTAATTAGAATTAAATGTGGTGTTTACTTGGTTAAAAATTGAGTCTAGGCTCAAGCGTCGATTTTAATTCTGTGGATAATAAGTTTTGCTGCCGCTTCTCTTTTTGGCGGGAAAGTTAATTCCACAATTCAAAATGGCGCCTTCCACACAAATAATCAAAGTTTATATCTTGAGCATGCTATCGTTCGCATTGGCACCAAAGTAGTGTTGCCAAACAATTTAACTGACCACATTCTAGGAAATTAGTTTCGATTTAGTATAAATATGAATCAACACCGTTGTATTCGAGTAACTGCATCAAGAGTTGCAGTAGTTGAAAGATTTTGACTGTATGATATCGCTTGTGTCACGCTCGCTGTAGCAACTCACAACATCCTGAAGGGTCTACAAAAGACAGGCTAACTGGAATCTTCGCCAGGATTTTTTGTTCATTCTGTGGAGGAATAGAAGAGACGCCTTGACTGCCTCTGCCATTTCCTTACAGCTTTTCTGCCGCCATAATGCATTTGCATCGATCCCTAAGATCAATTTTTTTAATTATTTGTTTTCTTCTCTTTTTAATGCTGTTCCCGATTGAGAAAATTTAGACTTTGAGCCTCCATGATCGCTGAAAATGCATTTCTTGGTTTAATCTTAACAATTCAATCAATAGCTATTACCAATTGGATGATCTTGTCACGAGTAGAAAATAGATTTAAAAGAATCATACACCATAGAATGCAGCTTTTCCCTTCGTGTAATAACCCAGACGCTGGTAATCGACTCCAGTCCTGGAATATTAAAAGGATATCGGGAGGATCTAGACCTCATAAAAACCAACTGTGGTTTCTTATAAGCCTACAAACCGTTAAGTACTTATAATTAAATAGTAGAAATTCTCGGTTATTTTATAAAAGTAACCATGAAATAAGGAAGTTGCATTTTGGTGTGATAAGCTAAGGTACCTCATGGCTGGGATTTAATTATCACCAAAACTGTTTTCTGCAAACCCCCCTTGCTAATTATGAATGTGCGAGTGCATAATTTGTCCACTTCAAGTTAGAAGAGGGCAAATAAAGTATGATATCTTGTTGTGTCTGTCTTCCTTCGGGAAAACTGTAGGCCTTAGCCCCCAGAAATACCTGAGTTTCCGTCACTTACGTTGAAAGTATGTCTTAAGCTTTAACTCTCATAACTGTTCCGATAACTTTCGATTAATATTTCAGCCAAGTTTATGCCTGAAATTAGCTTGAATATCCCCACTGTCTCTCTTTTAGATGCTTTTTTAAATTACCAATTGCCCCTTGTGTAGAGTTGTGATTCAGCATCTTTTTACAAAATGCTGTTCTTTTTTCTGCTAAAGCCTCCTTTGCTTATTTTTACAGGAAGAAGGTGACGATAATGAATGAACTGAAAAGGAATTTTCCAAGATAAGTATGGATGGTTTTAGATAACGAACATTGAACGAAACGGTGGACGGATTTTCCGCAAGAAGCACGCAGATATCCTGCGTAGAATTTACATGTCTCGAGCATATTGCTTAAGCTGATTGGCCATTAAGTATATATTGTGATGTTATTGTTAAGGGTATATGTAAAGTAGTAATGAAAAGAAAAGGTTCTGCTATGGCACAGAAAGACTGTAAGCTCCAACATTTTGACTTACTTTAACCAAGTCCTTCAAGTTAGATGTGAATTTTATTCCTCGCTGATGAGAATGGGCGCTTATGAAACAAGGCACCTTTCACCAATTCATTTGTATAAGCCAATGAAAAAAGGCTACTGGGGCGTACGCTGTTTAATATCGCTTTCATCTAAAATTACCCATTACGCGGCAATGGGCCCTACCCCGTCATAATATATAAATTGTACATATGCCTGCGAAGAGGTGGAGGCATGATTACATGGCAATGTATAGTTAGATATCGTGATGTATTAAAATGACGTTTATGGATTTTTAACCCACACCACACTGCAATATTTTCTCGCAAAAATGCCCTGTTGTTGCAAGAAAATAACGCCAAACAAATTTTATTGAAGAGTTGAGGCAGTTGATGTCATAAAGTCCCCCTAACCCCCTCCCCCCGCCTGTGATAAGACAATCCAGGGCAACAAAACTGCTCCCAATTTTTTTTTGCCATTTTAGACAAAGTGAAAAATGGGAAACGTCTACCTTGTTTCTCAATATAATTAAAGGTAAAGTAACCATAATTAAGGGTTTTTGGAAAATTCTAACATTTATTTGATCCTTCTCTTGAAAACCAAGAACTTCGGTGACGTATTTGCTGTTGATAGTTTTTCCTGACCTTTTCTAGCCTGTTGCTAAGCCAATTCATGTCAAAGTTTAGCATCTCTTTTGGTAAAAAGGGCTTTTTCTACCCAATTTAAAGACCCAGCTGCTTTTATTGAATAAGGACCCAGTCGTTTTGGTTTCATTTTCGCAGCATTTTTTATGGAAATACGAAACATCTCTCGGTAACTCATGGAGCAGCAGCATTTTGCTATGATTCATTTAGTTATTCAACATCATTGCCTTTTCCTTTCTTTTTTCTATGGTTGGTTGTTTCTAGCGACTTAACTATAATTGCTTTATCTTTAACAGTCTTGTAACAGAACAGAAAAAAGTCTGTTTTCTAACGTGTAATGTGAATCAACATTAAAACCGTATGGGAAATGATCGACAGCTTTTTATACTGTGCTGGCTCGTTTTAAAGACATTCAAATAGCACTTATTATGTAAATGAAGGAACTGAAATATCTTAACATAGCAAATTTGTTTTGTGCAAAAAGAAGCAAATATATTTGTTATTTAAAGCGATTTTTTTTCGTGTAAACCCTTTCGTTGAAAGTATATGTCACGTTTTCCGCAACTGACCATTTGATCATCATCGATAGAGATACGTGTGATATATAGATACAATAACGTCACAATTCATTCTTCAGAAAAATCCTTTTTCCGCCATGTGGCAGCTGTATTGTAGAAGACATGATGCTCATGCAGGTCCTATACAAGTATATCTATGCTGATGTCATTTGGTGTTTGCATGATAAGTGGCTGTCGAAATATCCAGCCGGCAAGAAACAAGTTATCTTTACATGCTATGTCAAAGACAGGTATACACTGATATAAATAGTTGCAACTTACAAACGTCCTGTTCTGTACACCAGATAGCGTGTACAGCTCTGCCCATACGGCATGGAACACTTAAGGACAGAACGGTCAAGGGCGCCGGAGCAGCGGGGGCAGCACGGGGGCAGCACGGGGGCAGCAGTGCCCTTTTCAATAAATTGATTTTAGAGCAACAATAATTCATATAAATATTTTAAATGCTAATAAAATCTAGGCTTCAAGCATCTCTTGGTACCTACATGCAGGACAAAAGTCAATATTTTCTATTTTGAAGAGATTTGCTTGAAAATATCTGAGCAATTTGACCAACAACAATATTTTCGTTGATAAGTTCTCTTTAATTTTAATGATCATGCTGGAAAAATTTCAGATTGCTACCAACGCTGGCTCGTATATGTTCGATGTATGAGTCAAAGCATCAATGATGTCTTAAATTCAAGCAAAGGCGTAGGAACCGGGAGGCACAGTGGGCACGTACCCCCCTTTTTTCCAAAATTCAGTTTACCTGCCCCTTTGCAGCTCACCAAGCTGCTCTTTTTGACACCTGCATAACCAACAAGTGCCCTTGAATTGCTTAGGTGCTATATGAAATGAGGAAAGGGGTGAACTTTTGGGGCGATGATCTAAAATGTCTCTTTCCGATTTGCTTTTAGAGACACCAAAAAACAAGCTCACAACAAGGGTTACCGAAAGGTGGTAGCGACTGAAAATTGACCATGGGCCTTAAGGTTTAGGGCGCTCGCGAGGTTTCCAGTTGTAAAAGCAATTTTTAAGACATAACAAAATTGTGCAACTTTTTAAACGATTGCAAGAAGGTGACTGCAAAAAATATTCTGAAATGAATTTTTAGGTAATCTAAAGGGCATTGTCGCCAAAAGTTTTCTGCTCATTTCGCTCGCAAACGGCCTCGTCTTTCGTTTCTGCCTGAAGGCCTCCGAAACCTCTTTGCGGTACAATACACAACTAAGCCAGTGAAATAGTGAAATCTATATAATTGTAGCAAGGCTTTATGTAACAGCCTTTTTAACAATAATGAAATGATATGCTTCCTTCTGCTCTCAAGATCTTTGTCAAACAGATTAAGCAAAATAAGGAACCCAGTTTTAAACGAAATAAGTACAATTACCAACTTTACAAAAATTAAAGAAAAAATTTCTGAATTTTAATCGTTGAATAATTGTGATCTTTACAAGAAATTCGTATGCAACATCACTTCTATTTGATTCAAATTATATTTAGCATTGGCAATTTAAATAAGTTGGTTTTTTTAGCCTGAATATAGCTGCAGATTGTACCAACTTCAAATAAAGAAAGAAAAAACAGTAAGTTCAGAGAAGTTATATCCAAAAGTTATATCAAACCATGTAGATTGTCATCAGAAAAAAATTATGTTTTAATGTAAAGTAGTATTGGGTCCAGCCTCCCTTGATAGGTGATACTGGGGTGAAAGGAATTTCGAGAATAAAGTTTGGCTGTGGTCTTGATTCAAATGTATTTTTTAGCTGTTGCCTTCACTTCCGAAATTTTTTAGGGCGTAGCAACGCAAAATGTCCTTAGGGGCTATGCCCCCAGAACACCGACCCTCTCTACCTTGAAAGGGCCTTCACCATTGGCCTCGTCATTGGCTAAACGACGATTCACGATCTGTTTTGTCAGCAAACTTTGACACCTCAAGGTGCCCTTTCTGCCAGTCCTGCCCCTGCCGCATCACGAAGCTTCCGGTGCCTCTGAGAACGGTAAGCATAAGTATAAGTACAATAGTGCATTTACTGGTAGACTCTGACAATAGTGATCACACTAGTTAAAACTAACATTAACCAACACCAGGGATTACATAAGAATGTCAATTCGCTGCACATTGAGCAGACACTAATTGCATTCGCAAGAAAACGTGTTTTGATAAATGTTTGAAACTTTTGATGCTTTGGGCTGTTTTTATTTTACGGTAAAGGGGATTCAAAAGTCCCCTTACGATCCTTGCAAGCTTAGCGATTTTGTCCATAGAAAGTAGTTCTTGCCATGGAATCTTGAGAGCGGCTTGTTATTCTAAGATTATTGCTTAGCAGTTTTGGTGTAAAATATTCTTTCATGAAAATATAATACGAATAAATAAAGTATAAGTGCACGATCTGTAAGCACCTGTTGGCACTTCAAGAACTCAAGAGTGACAACTTAGAAGAATCATATTCATTGAGTACTACTTATACTTTCTGAAATTACTCGCTAAATAACGATAAAAAGATTCAAACTATCAAGTGATTTAGAGATAGCTCAACCATGCGTTAGACTTAATAAAAGTTAAACTATTTTTTTGCTATATATAGACCTTTGATGCCTTGATTGCTATGATAATCGCCAATAATAGCATTTTTTTATCTTGATGATTCTCAAACATGGTCAAATCTGCGTACTTCGAACTTTTTAGAGGATTGTAAAATGTTAGTATTACAAAATGTTCGATTTAGAGAGATTCAAATTTTAGAGGAATATTTTCAAGGGGTCTGAGAATTTTGTTCGAATTGGTAGTAATTCGATTTAAACGAGTTTATATTGCACGGGTTCGATTTTATTTTACTGCATTACAATTTCTTAAGTAATTTGTGGCTGCTCTCTTTTCTCAGTAAGACAACAGCCCTCTGGCTTGCAAATTTTTAACTTATTCATATTTTGCATCTCACTAAATTTTTTGAAATTGCATTTATTAATTAGATATATGTGCATTATGAACCTGAAATCTTTAATGCTATGAATCATCTTGAACCATCCTTTTATTGGCACAAATTTAAGAGATTTTTGCTGCAGGTTTTGTTACACAGACCTTTAAACCCTTCATATACTTTTCTTATTCCCTTTTGGCAAAACACTTCTTTTTTGCGTATTAGCAAATAATAAATTTCCATGATAGCCACGCATTCCCATGATAGCCACGGTTTATTGATTGTCAATCTTTAATCATCATCTCAGTGTTAATTGTACTTAAACCTTTAATCTCTCCATTGCAAATCGCCAGTCGCACAGGCCAATGGCTATTCATCTCCAAATTGAATAGCTGCTATATTAGAAACACGCCTCTTACAACGACCTCGGTTCAATTGTGGTGACTGGCTGGTGATACGAGCTAGGTGGCAGCTTTATTTTTGTATCATTTTCCCTCATGATAAAGATAACCATCTAAATTGGCTTCAGAGTTAGAAGAAGTGGCAGCATAGCTTTTGCAACTGTAATTGAGTTAAAAAGCTGCTTGCAGCATAGGAACCTTTGATGCAGTAGTCAAAAGAGGTCCGGATTGTTGCGTGCCAAACGTGTTTTCAAAAGTGCGAAACGTCCAGTATTTTTGACCTAATCTATTCTTTTAAAACCTTTTGAACCTTTTGAACCTTTTGAGTTACCAAAATGTTTCGTTGGGAAATTTGAACCTAGCTGAAGGCCTAGTTCCTTGAGCTCCTTTTTTCAATCTTTTTGGATCACATTTTTGGATACAAAAAGGTCCTCAATAGTTCCTTAACCTTGACTGTGCTTATAGTGCCCTGAAAATAGCACAGACGCAACATTGAAGTTCGGAATGGTGCTATGAATTGGGGCCAGAAGGTGCCTTCCATGACCAACTTGTAGTTACATAATTGATATTTCAAAATCATAGGATTACATCGTTAAGAAAGTTGCAAAAATACTACCACTTCTCAACCTTTTTCTCGTCGAATTTAGACGAAATACAAGATTAAGACCGAAAACTGGGGGGACACTTCCAGTCCCTTCCCCCCTCGTGGCAACGCTTTTGAATTGTGGCTAGAAACTGTAGCTGAAATGATTTGAACAATTGGCTTTTTTCGATTGACTATGTTTGAACTTGTCTGATCATCCTCATCCTCAGCAAACAAACGACCAGCAAAGTCATGTAAAATCAAATATGAGGTGTTTACCCCTAACCATGGTTGGTAGACCATTTGCTAGTAAACCTCCTTTGATTATATCCTTGCTTATTCCTCTCTCCCGCTGTTTGAAAAAGTTTGCCTTGTCTGAGATTATCTGTATTAACTTGATTCTGAGCACTTTGCAGTTGCACAAGCTCAATGGTTAGTATGTTTTAGTACGAAGCAATTCTCCTTGCGATGCACGGCTGGACCCTTACAGTGTAGGATCATGATGCATGCAAAAGATTTAATTTTGTTTTGAAAATGCCAACAGCAAAAATATGCCTCCCTAGTGGGCTATTCTAGTTTACTTGCACGTCATGGGCATTTTCTTGACGTATTGCAGTGTTAGTTGAATGCCTGAAAGGATTCCAAGGTTTTTATGAATCTTCAGCACAGGTTATACATAGTTTGTCAAATGAAAGTGGCCTACTATCTTTGGCTGTGCCACAGCCTGGCGTTTACCTGTTACTTTTCAATCCAGGGAGTTTTGCTAGGCACACACGTAAGTAAATGCTGATAGGTTGTGCGATGCACTGAATCAAAGCAAGCTGCGTAAACAATTTACAACCGTGGAATTGACTATTAGATTGTTTTTTAGTTGCTTTTGCTTTTATCGATACAAACTTGTTGCACTTCAAGACTCACATGACCAATTTTCAAAGTTTGTTGCTCGGTGAAATTTGCTTCAGAGCTAAACAAAGGTAGACATTTAGGATTTGAGTTAGAAAATGGAGTAAAACTCTTTCATTTGCAACCCATCGCGA